CATTTAACATTACAAAATGCCAGGAAGAAACGGAAAACCAACCAACAATGTAAACAGACAACAACAGAAAATCATGGCCAGCCCATTACAGACGCTATCGATTTCATCATAGCGGCTGCAACAACAACCCACATACAGAGCTTCCACCCAAACACCAGCACTGCACACGACGAGTGTTATTCAATTACCCAAGCAGTTGGAGGAGGAGAAGGCCTCCAACACCATTAAAGCGCCAGTGTCTGTCTGTCTCCCCTGTTGTAAAAGATTATCGCTGGTGGTTCGTTACCCTAATCCTTGGTTACTTTGCATTTGAACTGAGGCTTTTCTTCCTGGCTGGATAACTGCCATATAGCCAGCAAGTCAGATTGTATGGCAGTTATCCTATCCACCTACCCGCTTGCACTGCAATAACATTTGGCTGGCTCTTCTTATCGCTGGGGCGTCTTAGCTTGATGACAAATCGTGACCTTTCCATTAAAACAACAACAGCAACAAAATACCCAATGCATTTCACGATGATACAACAGCCTGCAAATGACTTTATCCGAACAAAGCGAACAGCGAACATTTTTGGTGTCATCCATGGAGGCCAAGTAAAAGTGAAAATAACACAGCAACGGTTATAGCGGGGCACAACACCAGTAAACTTTCTCCTTTAACCAACCAGGCAGGCAGCTAGGCAGTAAGACATCCAGTCAGTCAGTCAGTGGCTACCTACTGCAGCAACAGGAACATCTTCAGATTCCTATTTGACAAAGCTGCAATGGTGGCAGCAGCAACAGCCGTAAATTCGACAAGCCTATGCTCTGGCCACACATTAGCGAAATGGATGAATGAATGACTGTTTGGTAAATAATATTGGCTAAATGATTATCAACAAAATACGAGGGGAGATTGGACATGATAAGAGATATTTCATGGGGAAAACATTAAAAAAATGGTGATGTTCCTGAAACAAATTTTTTTGAAACTAAAGTAAAAACGTCGGGCCGAAATTGTTATACCCTCTAGTATGAGGTGGTCTTTCAAAATGAACAATATCTTCATCTAGGGTTCTGAGGGTCTCTCAAAAATATTCTGTTAGAAATCTACGCCTTGGGCTCTGATGGTCCTTTACAAATATTCTTTATAAAATCTGCTTCTACGACTCTGATGGAGTATTTAAAAAATCTTCGACTAGGGCACCTGCGTTTCTTGGTCGGATGGTTCTTGAAAAAATTTTCTTTACAAATCCACGCTTCTTGGTCGGATGGTTCTTGAAAAATTTTTCTTTAAAAATCAACGCTTCTTGGTCGGATGGTTCTTGAACAAATTTTCTTTAAAAAATCCACGCTTCTTGGTCGGATGGTTCTTGAACAAATTTTCTTTAAAAAATCCACGCTTCTTGGTCGGATGGTCCTTGAAAAAATATTTGTTAAAAATCCACGCTTCTTGGTCGGATTGTTCATGAACAAATTTTCTTTAAAAATCCACGCTTCTTGGTCGGATGGTTCTTGAAAAAAATTTTCTGTAAAAGTTCACGCTGTTGGTCTGCTGGTCCTTGAAAAAATATTCCTTAAAAATCCATGCTTATTGGACGGATGGTCCTTGAAAAAATATTTTTTAAAAATCCACGCTTATTGGACGGATGGTCCTTGAAAAAATACTCGTTTAAAAATTAACGCTTCTTGGTCAGATGGTTCTTAAAAATATTGTTTATAAAAATCAACACTTCTTGGTCGTATGGTCCTTAAAAAATTTGTCTTTAAACATTTACGCCTAGGACTCTGATGGTCCTTAAAAAATTTTCTTTAAAAAATCTATGCCTAGGACTCTGATGGTCCTACAAAAATATTTTTTAAAAATCTACTCTTAAGGCTCTGATGGTCCTACAAAAATATTTTTTAAAAATCTATTCTTAAGGCTCTGATGGTCCTACAAAAATATTTTTTAAAAATCTATTCTTAAGGTTCTGATGATCCTACAAAAATATTTTAATTAAAAAATCTATGCCTAGTGCTGCTCTGATGGTCCTTGAAAACAATTTCTTTAAAAAATCTACGCCTAGTGCTCTGATGGTCCTTGAAAACAAATTTCTTAAAAAAATCTACGCCTAGTGCTCTGATGGTCCTTGAAAACAAATTTCTTTAAAAAATCTACGCCTAGTGCTCTGATGGTCCTTGAAAACAATTTCATTAAAAAATCTACGCCTAGTGCTCTGATGGTCCTTGAAAACAATTTCTTTAAAAAATCTACGCCTAGTGCTCTGATGGTCCTTGAAAACAATTTCTTTAAAAAATCTACGCCTAGTGCTCTGATGGTCCTTGAAAAAATTTTCTTTAAAAAATCTACGTCTAGTGCTCTTTGAAAATTTTTTTATGGTCCTTGAAATTTTGTTTTAAATCTACGCCTAGTGCTCTGATGGTCCTTGATTTTTTTTAAATCTACGCCTAGTGCTCTGATGGTCCTTGAATTTTTGTTTTAAATCTACGCCTAGTGCTCTGATGGTCCTTGAACTTTTTTTTAAATCTACGCCTAGTGCTCTGATGGTCCTTGACATTTTTTTTTTAAATCTACGCCTAGTGCTCTGATGTTCCTTGAATTTTTTTTAAATCTACGCCTAGTCCTCTGATGTTCCTTGCAAAAATGTTCTTTAAAAAATCTACGCCTCGTGTTGTGATGGTCCTTAAAAAATATTTTCTTTAAAAAACCTTCGTCTAGTGCTCTTATGACCTTGAAAACATTTTCTTTAAAAATCTACGCCTAGGGGTCTGATGGTTATTCAAAAATATTCTTTAACAAATTTACGCCTAAGGCTCTGAAAGTCCTTCAAAAATATTTAAAAAATTCACACCTTTAAAAAATACAAAACCAGCGTTTATGATTCTGAGGATGTTTGAAATAGTAAAAACTTCGGGTGGTCCTTGAAAATATATTTAAAAAAAATCCACACTTATTAAATAAGTATTCTTCAAAAAATCTACGCCGGATGGCCCTTGAAAATCTAGTCCTATGTCTCCGAGGATCGCTTATTGGTCCTTCAGAAAATATTCTTTAAACAATCCATGCTGTTGTTATTTTGGTCCCTCAGAAAATATTCATCCACACTTTACATACCTACAACATAATTTTCATTCACACTTCTCGCCACATGTGCTAATGTCTCAGATGTCTGTCTCCGTCGTATTTGTTTTTTATTTTGCCATAATTGCGGTTTACCACTGGCACCCGGTCGAATGAGCATAAAATGTTACCAAAATCGAACAAGTGTTGAAATTGGCATCTTTTGAAACAAACATACAGGCATATAAGCCAGACAGGGAGACAGCCATACAGACAGACATACATATGTATGTGGATGGCTTTGCAATAAAGGAAAACATTTGTTATATTAACAGAAAGTTGAGAGCAACAATAAAAACAACATCATTGGCTAAAAAGAAAATTGCAAATAAGAAAATGTGGCGGCACAACCGACACACACACAAACAAAAGATGTGCACATTTCTGTCAAAACAAATTTATCAAATTGGAAATTGCAACAGAAAAAAAAAATAGCAAGGCATCAACAAAATCTGAATCCATGACTCCCCAGTGGAAGTGAAAAAGAAGACGAAGAAAAGACAACAATGATAGTCACGTAACCTATGTCAAATGACATTGAAATGGAAAATGATCATCTTTCATTTTCATTTTTTTCAGTTGTTAGTTTTTGAATTTTTCTATACAATCAAAAGAAACACAACATTTCATTGTTGTAATGATGATACTTGACGTTGTTGTTGTTGTCGTTGCTGTACTCCTGTGGCGGAACGACACTTGCCAAGTGACATCTCTTATTTCAGCTGCACAAGGCAACATATGTTGACGACGTTGAGGATGATGACAAAGTCTGAAAAGAAAAATATCTGTTTGGGAGAAATTTATTTATTACAACCGACCGTCGGATCAACCGCACACCTTAATAATACCCACACCTGACGATGATGATGAACCCTGTTGTAATGTGTGATTACAGTTATAGGAAATCATGTGCATCCATCCAATGCGACGAGGATCACCATGCTGATGTTCCCATGATATTTGATTTCGCGTTTTTCTCGTTGTTGTTGTTTATTTTTTTCGTTTTCAATATTTGTGGAAAAAGGGAAATTTTCCAAATGGAAAAATAATGGGATTTCGTTATAACACCTGGCAGAGAGCATAGATCGAATATGGCTAATTTATTCGGATTAGTGAATTGCAAGAAAAATACCAGGGTTCAGATACAAGAGGGCTATCAGAGCCATAGGCGTGTTATGTTTACAACATACCAGTAAGGACCATCGAAGAGTGGATTTTTAAAAGAACCAGCAGACCAAGAAGTGCACGAAAAAGCGTGGATTTTTTAAAGAATATTTTTTGAAGTACCAGCAGACGAAAAAGCGTGGATTTTTTAAAGAAAAATTTTCAAGTAGCGTGGATTTTTTTAAGAAACATTTTTGGAAGGGCCAGCAGACCAAGAAACGTGGATTTTTTATAGAATATTTTTTTTTGAAGGGCCAGCAGACCAAGAAGCGTGGATTTTTTAAAGAATATTTTTTTGAAGGGTCAGCAGACCAAGAAGAGTGGATTTTTTAAAGAATAGTTTTTTAAGTACCAGCAGACCAAGAAGCGTGGATTTTTTAAAGAATATTTTTTCAAGTACCAGCAGACCAAGAAGCGTGGATTTTTAAGGAATATTTTTTGAAGGACCTGCAGACCAAAAAGCGTGGATTTTTTAAAGAATATTTTTTCAAGTACCAGCAGACCAGGAAACGTGGATTTTTTAAAGAATATTTTTTCAAGTACCAGCAGATCAAGAATCGTGAATTTTTTAAGGAATATTTTTTCAAGTACCAGTAGACCAAGAAGCGTGGATTTTTTAAAGAATATTTTTTCAAATACCCTTTCACCTTTAGATTCTCTTCAGTGATTTTTAGTGATTTTAACCTCTCCATTTTCTTTCTTTTCTCATTTTTAGTTTCCTTAATTCTTGTGACCAGTGAAAGAAAAACCAGTTTCTAATTATGGCCACGTCGATACTCACCGATTGTAGCAGCTTTCAAGGCTCTACAACCAGTTCTTCCAGTGACATGATGACTGGCACCACGGCAGCTTCATCTTGGTGTGCCATACCCACATCAACAAGGATACGCTTAATACGGCTCTTTCGTCCACATACACGTCGTATGCTGGTGACGCCCAGTGCCACACCTTCCTATGGTTTTTCGGTAAGAGGTGGCAAGGAATATAATACAGGATTTTTTGTCTCCAATGTGGATCGGAATAGTGAAGCGGAACAGAAGGGATTGAGGGTAAGTACAAATAAAATTATGAAGCTCAAAAACACAGCATTTCAGGCCGGCTAACTAAAGTTGAATAAGGTTTTCTATAGGAAATTTTCAATTCAGCATGGCTGAATAAGATTTTTTGTAGGAGAAAACTTCAATTCAATCTTTCTGAATAACGTTTTCTACAGGAAATCTTCAATTCAGCCTGGCTGAATAAGGTTTTCTATAGGAAATCTTCAATTCAGCCTGGTTGAATAAGGTTTTCTATAGGAAATCTTCAATTCAGCCTGACTGAATAAGATTTTCTATAGGAAATCTTCAATTCAGCCTGGCAGAATAAGGTTTCCTATAGGAAATCTTCAATTCAGCCTGGCTGAATAAGGTTTTCTAAAGGAAATCTTCAATTCAGCCTGGCTGAATAAGTTTTTCTATACGAAATCTTCAATTCAGCCCGGCTGAATAAGGTTTTCTATAAGAAAACTTCAATTCAGCCTGGCTGAATAATGTTATCTATAAGAAATCGTCAATTCAGCTAAGTTGAATTTGTACTTTCTTTTCTAACTAATTTAAATAAAGTCATATTTTTGAGTATTAGTTTACTAAGTTCCCATCTATTTAATGATATCGAAATTATTGAAGCCTCCCACATTTATTACATTAAATCGAACAGTGAAAGTACTTGCGCACTTTAGTGTTCTATTTACGTGTTGACTGAATTCGATTCAATTCCACACCAACAATATTTTCCCTCTTGAACCCACATAAAAATTGAATTTGTAATGAAGTGGCATGCTTCGAAGCTGGTTGTGTCACCAGTACTCAAAATTTGAATTTTCACTTCAGTCAGCCAGTCAGCATAACCCATAACCTGATAGATTGTTGTGCTTCTTCAACAGAATCATCATTATCACCTTCTATGGGCAAGTCATTCACGTATGGCAGAGAGTGTCTGCACCGCCCGCCGGTACTACACATTCTTTGAATGTTATTGTGACGCTTTAACGCTGGCTGCTTCATACTTGTGTGGCTCCACATGAATTTTAATTAGCGGACAACATTGTTAGCTGCGTCGGATACCTTTCGAATTGTATTCTGTATGCATGTTGTTTTGTTTTCAATTTTCTTTTGAAGTTTTCGAATGTGGGTCAGTTTTTTTATAATTTGTAATTCATTGATATTTTATTCTGGAGTTTTTGTGTCACCTATTTATTTATGTTTTTCTCAACAATTAGATTTGGTTTAATAATAATTTACTTTCTATATTTCAGATTGGCGATCAAATATTGCGTATCAATGGATTCAGAATCGATGATGCCATCCACAAGGAGTTCTGTCAACTTGTTACTAGTCAAGATCGTTTGGTGCTTAAAGTGCGCAGTGTGGGCATGTTGCCATCAAAAGAGTATGTATTTTGAGAATTTTGCCAAAAACCTCAATTCAGTCTAGCTGTATTGAAAATTTTCGAGAGAAGCTTATATTCAGCCAGGCTGAATTGAAGATTTTCTGTAGAAACTCATATTCAGCCACGCTGACTTGAAGATTTTCTATGGAAACTCTAATTTAGCCAAACTGAATTGAAGATTTTCTATAGAAACTCAAATTCAGCCAAGCTGAATTTAAGATTTTCTATAGAAAACACTATTCAGCCGGGCTGAATTGCTGTTTTCCGATAGAAAACACTGTTCAGGCGAGCTGAATTGCAGTTTTCCTATAGAAAACACTAATCAGCCAGACTGAATTGAAGTTTTTCTATAGGAAACACTATTCAGCCAAGCTGAATAGCAGTTTTCCTATAGAAAACACTATTCAGCACTATTCAGGAAACCTTATTCAGCCCGGTTACATGGAAAAATTTACATCGGAATATATATTCAGCCATGCTGAATATAAGTTTTTCTTCTAAATGTATGTCCCAGTGTTACCCTCTTTCATCATTTCATTTTATCTTACAGCACGGATTTCGATAATCTTTCCTGGAATGTGGTGAAAATTCCCAGTATTAGCAGTACCCCATCGGAGTGCTCCTTTCAATCGAGTAGCAGCACAGCGGATCATCCAACTCTACGCAATCGCAATGAACGGGTGGTAAATATCGTACTCAATGTGGCACCCCGAACCAAATTGGGCCTGGGCATATGTAAGGGGCCCGAATGGAAACCGGGTATTTTTGTTCAGTTTACCAAGGAGAAAAGTGTGGCCCGTGAGGCTGGACTACGGCCAGGAGATCAAATTTTGACTGTCAATAGCATCGATTTCTCGGATGTGTTGTTCAGCGAGGCAGTGGCCGTTATGAAAAGCTCCAATAAATTGGATATGACCGTACACAAGGGTGCTGGTTGTGATCTATTTCCTGGTGAGTCGAGTGGTTATAACAGTTCGGCTAGTTCCGTGACCGGTGATCAAAGTCCATGTTGGGGTGATGTGAAATCGAAGCGTCTGACATCAGTGAGGGAAGAGACAAGTGTCACACCTCCCTCACCACCACATGGCCCGACAATTACAAAACACAATATTTGGAATCAGCAGGGGTTATATGAAAATGAACCCAGATCGAGATCGAAGTCGAATGCAGAACGTTGCATGAAATCCATGGTAAATGATAACACCATACGTCCCGATGATACCATGAAGAATATGACAAAATCCCATAAAGAGATAAATAAAACCATTATAAAATTATCCGAGAGTGGAACTTCTATAAATAACACCTATGTGGCCACCACACAACCTTTAACGCAGAGTAATAGTAATTCAGATACCACACTACGTCATGGCTCCTTGACAAGTGGTTATAGTGAAAGTGTGTCCAGCAGTGACAATGATTACAATGTTGCCACCCTGACAAAGAACAATCAACAATCAGCTGGTGATATGAAGAGTAGTAACATCCCACCGGTACCACCACCAATTGCCATACAAAATACAAGTGCGCCTAAAAGTATGCATCACACAACGAATAATAATCATCACCAGAATGCTTCTCAACTTCCTGCCTTCAAAGATGCGAATATTAAATTGGGTGGATTGGCTTCCACAATGCAAAGATATGCCACATTGGCCAATTATGTGGCCATAAACGATTTACCCACGTCACCGACAAAACCCAGTGCGGAGAATGAATTATCGACAACATCTGGAGCGAATGCCCAGACTGATAGTTGCAGTTTATCAAATGCCATAACGGAGGAATTGAAGAAACGTAGAGCGGTAAGAATTGTTTTTATTGTATTTAAAAAATATATTTTAATTTTTCTTGTTGTTGTTTCAGAAACGTCAACCGAATTGTCAGCCATCACAGCGCAGTGATAGCTTGAACAACAATTCGAATTCACCTGGAGAGCCGAAATCTTCCACCAAGAGCCATAACACTCACATTGCCACTGATGACCAACACAGTGCTCTCATGAACGAGTTTAAACAGGCCCATAAACGTATGTTCCGAAATGGTTTCAAGGATTCAGAATCTTCGGAAAATCAAGTGAGTATGTCATTTTCGATCGTCAGAGAAGAATTGGAACTCTATCTACACAATTATTTTGAGAGGGGGTGTTAGGGTTTGTGTACTTACTTAGCTGGCATGTGACAAAACGTTTGTTCCATAAGCCGAGCTTAAAAAAATATTTCCAGGCACGTCGGTATTTCATCCAATTTGAAAGACCATGTTCCGAGATGTTGTCTTCCACTTAGTCTTTCCATCGAATTCGTGGCCCTTCCCCTTCTGCGTGAAGCATCACTTGACTCGCTTTTATATGCCTTCTGAGCTGGGACATCCTCATCCATTCTCACAATATGAGCTAGCCAACGTAGTCGCTGCAGCTTCGTTTTTCTCTTAAATACTCCAAGAGCTGCAAGTAGCCATGCTTCAGATTCATACAACAGCGCGTGTAGTATGAACGTCTTGTAGACTGTGAGTTTGGTCTGGCGGGAGGTTGTTTTTGAGTTGCTCAGTAGCATCTGTTGGCCAACACTATTCTTCCCCGGATTTCAAAGCTGAGGTTATTAGTTTTGCTTATGCCGGTACCGAGGTTTATAGGTATAGGCATATATTAGGCGAAGGTGTAGTTTTCAAGTTCCACAGCTGGTCCGAATCTATTGGATGTCTTGCGCGTTGGCAGCATCAGCTTGGTCTTTTCGCCATTCACTGCCAGTACCACTTTGGCAGACTCCTTCTCAATCCATTCAATGTTGGCTGTTACCGCTCGCAATGTTCGACCTATTACATCGATGTCATCGGAGTAGGCGAGTAACATATGTTGTTTGGTGTACAGAGTGCCATTTCTGTTCAAATTTGCATCTCGTATGACCTTTTCCAGCAGTATGTTAAGGAGGTCATACGACAAACTGTCACCTTATCTGAATCCTCGTTCGATATTGCAGGTCTCCGAGAGGTCCTTTCCGACTTTAACTGCTGACCTTGTATCAGTTAAATTTATCCTGCATAGCCGTTTTATTTTCGCTGGAATGCCGAACTTAGACATGAATTTAAACACTTCTGTCGAATGCGACTTTGTAGTCGACGAATAGGTGAAATGTGTGAAAATCTGATCTATGGTGGATTTGTCAGGTATGAAGCCGCATTAGTATGGTCTAATAATATCATTGACCATTGGTTTTAGTCGTTCACACAGCACACTGGATAACACTTTATATACGATGGGAAGGAGACTAATTCCTCAATAGTTGCCACATATAGTCTTGTCTACTATTTGTGCACGGACCACAGGATGTTGAGGTTCCAATCATTGGACATGCATTCCTCTAACCAAATTGTACTAATGAGCTGGTGCATGACCAGTATCTAACCATCGGTCTTGAATAGTTCGCACATCGGCAGCTGCTGCTTTATTATTCATCAGCCGATTGATTGGTGGTATACACTCTATACCGTCATCTCTTATTGGTTCTGGGGTATCTTTTTCAACTGGAATCCCGAAATTTGGAGTTAGGATCGCTGTTGGGGTGTAGGACTGGGATATGTAGGAAGTTTTGGAAATTCGAACTAATTTGTACCAAATGGTACTAAATTTGGATTTCGGTGAATCGATAAGGCTGAAATAGGCAGTTTTGGAAATTCGTACCAATGTACTAAATTGTATGTTGTGTGAACTAGAATTATGAAATTTGTTGTTGGGAGGTAGGAAGCTTTGGAAATCCGTACTAAATGGTACTATATATTATTCAATTTGGATTTAGGTGATCCCATAGAGCTGGAATCTTGAAGTTTGGAATTCAGATGGAGTGTTGGATTGGGGTATGTAGGAAGTTTTTGAAATTCGTAGTTATCTGCACTAAATGGTACTAAATTTGGTACAATTTGGATTTGAGTGAACCTATCGGGTTGGAATCCTGAAATTTGGAAATATGATTTCTATTCGATTATGTAGGTGGGTACATATAGAAATTTATATTCATGTGTGGTACTAAATATGGTAAAATTTGGATTTGGGTGAACCTATAGAGCTCGAATCAAGAAATTTTATACTAAGTGGTAATCACATTTTAATTATGGTCGATTTTGGTCTTTAGGTTGAATAGTTCTTCTGACATATGAAGTTTTCAGTGAAAACATCATAAAATGTTAAGACATGTTTAAATATTTTTCCACATTCGCTAACGAAGTAACGGGCATATGCCAGTACACTGATAAAATGGGTTCGATAATAAGGTTAGAAATACTTTGATATAATTAAAAAATTACCTCGTAGAAATATAGGTTTTAGATCTCAAGTGTCATTGGACCGTTTGTCTTTCAAACCGATATTTCAGATATTTTGAGTCGATTTAGAAATGTTTGTCCGTCTGAGAATAATTATTGGAGCAAACAATGATTGTGCCAAATTTTGGGAATTGTAATATTTCTTCCAAACTTAAATGAATTTCGAAAGTAAGAAATAACATATTATATAAGGAGTAACATTTTCAAAATGTGGAGCTGAAATGTAGCTGTTTTTGCAGAATAGTCAGGCGTAGTTCCAGTTTGTTGTTTTTATAAATACAACTATTTATTGTGAGGAAAGTATGGAATTGTCCACCAAGGGGCAAGTTGGGGAAGACTATGGTTTTGGATCTCGACACTGATCTTCATCAGTTCACTTAGAAGTAATAACTTCTTTCCTTTTATACTCAAATGTCTCTTGTAACAAGTTCAAGCACCCTACCTTTATTTTACAAATTCTGAACCTAAGGCGTTATATCTTTCAATACTTTTTTCAACAATTCTCGTATAACAATCGATGGAAGAATTTATAGATTTCTCTAACTTATTTTACTGATAAGTTTTTATCTAGTTCATATCTAATGACTGACATCATTTTTGAAGTACTTTTGATATTATGTAACACTCGTACAGTTCGAACTGAGTTCAATTCAGAAATGCATCCATAACTAATTTTCGAATAAACAAACATTTTTTTCCATCATACAATATCATTAATATTTCCTTTTTTGATATCCACATTCAAGGTCATCGAACATATTTAGTTCCGCTTTTTATTATAAATGCATTCCCTTATCTATTTCAAGTTCAAATTATGATTTTCCACCTTTTACATTCACTTTGTTGAGCGGGGGGCAATTAAAAACAAAAAAATAAATACTTTAAATAAAATTTGAACTAAATTACCATTACTAAAAGGTGTACGATATTTGGGGCAATGTGCGATCTAATAAATACGTGTGTCTGTGTGTGTGTATTTGTCTACAGACCTAACCTTTCCTAAGTAAACAAAAATTGACGCGTGTGGCTTAAGCTTTTTTTCATTGTTGCATGAAAGCAATAATGCTCAGCATGTTGTCAGCGAAGCAATTTATTTGGAAGGTGGAATAGGGATGACGATGTGAAAAATGTAATCGGAACTAGTATATTTATAGTATATATGCTGGTCCTTGAAAAAATATTCTTTAAAAAAATCCACGCTTCTTGGTCTGCTGGTTCTTGAAAATATATTCTTTAGAAATCCACGCTTCTTGGTCTGCTGGTTCTTGAAAAAAAATATTCTTTAGAAATCCACGCTTCTCGGTCTGCTGGTCCTTGAAAAAATATTCTTTAAAAAATCCAAGCTTCTTGGTCTGCTGGTCCTTGAAAAAATATTCTTTAAAAAAATCCACGCTTCTTGGTCTGCTGGTCCTTGAAAAAATATTCTTTAAAAAAATCCACGCTTCTTGGTCTACTGGTCCTTGAAAAAATATTCTTTAAAAAATCCACGCTTCTTGGTCTGCTGGCCCTTGAAAAAATATTCTTTAAAAAAATCCACGCTTCTTGGTCTGCTGGTTCTTGAAAAAATATTATTTAGAAATCCACGCGTCTTGGTCTGCTGGTTCTTAAAAAAATATTCTTTAAAAATCCACGCTTCTTGGTCTGCTGGTCCTTGAAAAAATATTCTTTAAAAAATCCACGCTTCTTGGTCTGCTGGTCCTTGAAAAAATATTCTTTAAAAAATCCACGCTTCTTGGTCTGCTGGTCCCTAAAAAAATATTCTTTAAAAAATCCACGTTTCTTCGTCTGCTGGTCCTTGAAAAAATATTCTTTAAAAAAAATCACGCTTATAGGCCTTGAAAAATATTCTCTAAAAAATTCAAGCTCTTTGATGGTATGGTCTTTAAAAATCAACGCTTATTATATATAAAATATGTAATTTCGTGAACAAATGCAATTGGCGCCCAACATGAGTCCTTCATATTCAATTTAAAAATTAATAGTTTTTCGTACCTAACGTTAATATGTCCCTGAGGTGTATTGCGTGGCCCTTAGGGATATATAAAATATGAATGGCGACCAACGGAAATATTCATATCCCTTGCCAAATAAACTGAAAGCAAATAGTTTTCCAGATCGAATGAGAAAAACATAATCTGACAACAGTTTCATTCAAAAATAACGTTATCATAATGGCGCCCAACGTTGCCATAACAAAAACAAATTGCATTGAATTCTTGGTTTTAGTCGATTCCAAGTCATTGCTAATAGGAACAAACTTACAGTTTTCCATAATGGCGCCCAACATATTAATTAAAAAATAACGTTATCTCACAATGGCGCCCAACGTTGCCATAACAAAAACAAATTAAATTGAATTCTGAGTTTTAGTCGATCCCAGTGCAGTGCTAATAGGAACAAAATTGATATTTTTAATAATGGCGCCCAACGTAAAAACAATTCCGAAATATATGCCATTTAATCAAATTTTATTATAACCCGAATGGGGAATTGACAATCTCCAATTATTTAAATGATCCATGTTTTTAAATCCCCAATTTTGGGTATTTCGAAAACACCACCTTCATCGCCAACCCTATCTCGCTGAGGGACAAATATGTGGTTTGTAGCAAGTGCCACTAAAAGCTGTAGAGTTGGCAATAACCAACAATTAATTGACAGTTTGGTATTAGGAAAGCTTTTGTGTTGTTGTTGCGTGGTGTCGCTGCCGTTCCGAACGCGTTTTTTTGTTATTTGAATTAAATAACAGATGTTGAATTGCGTTATCACACATTTTTTTTTGAAACGCTTCGTGCTATTAATAAACGAAAAATTTGTGATGTCAGATAATATAATAATAACAGGATATTTTATTACCACCAGGGACCCCAACAAGATTCTATCCCGAACCATCAGACATTGACTCATTCTTTTTTTGTGGTATAACCTTATCTTATCTCTCCTGTTTTAACAACTTGTGTCCGGAGTATGGGTACCCTGTGGTATAAACAAAACCTATTACCAACACCTCTGCACCATCAGCAGCAATCTGGTCGTACCTCTCTCACTCTCGTCATTTTGATAAAAAACAAAAACATATTTTTTCCGAGGTGTAGAGCAAATTAACAACTTCGAACAAAACACAAAAACAATAGATATAATTAACAATTATTTATTTCTGTTCGAAACGTTGAAGTGTAAGGAGTTGTGTCCGCAAAGTTAGTTAGTTACCAATACCTCGCAGGTGATAGTGACTGACGTTTGGTTGGTTTGTCATTCACCCAAACCAATTCAATTAAATTTAAATTTGAAAAAAGAAAAGCTATACCAACGAAAGATCGTAACAAAACAAAATACCAACAAAAACAAGTGTAACGACACCATCAGTAGAGAAAAAAAAAAACGTTAAATTAAGATACCAGTGATAGTGGAAGAAGCAGAGGTAACAACAAAATGCAAAACTCCATTGATAATGAAGCTACAACAACATCCACTCCAACAACGACATCAACAGCAGCGACAGCAACATCGCCAGCTGCCGTCAGCACCACCACCACAACTCTGGTGCATGCTACAATGAAACCCGCACGCAGTGGAAAATGCTTGGTTACGTTCAGTACCTATGAGGTATGTGTCTGAAGGGGTTTAGCAATACCCCTTTGTTTACCGGCAAAACTGTAAAAATAGCAATAACACAACGACATGAAGAACAACAGTCGGTTGCAAAAGTCAGCTTGTTGTTGATAACTTTTGTTGCTAATTACTTTTTTTGTTATGATTCAACATTGTTTGTTTATGTTTTGTTGTTGTTGTTTGTATTTAATATTTATCTTATCAACAAGAAGCAATCACACACAAAAACAATCACTGGTCTAGACAAACAACAAAACGAAGAAAGTTAATATAAATTAAATATAAAAAATATATTGTCAATATTAAAAAAATGTCGAAATGGTCTGATTTGGGAGACTTAAGCGTTGTGGTCTTATAATGTATTACCGTATAGTTCGTTTAACTTCAGGCCTAATGACCTAATGTCAAAATATTGCTATCATATTTATTCGAAGATATTTTCGTCCGATTTCATTAAAACTGTGCACAAAATTTCCTGCCAATCGCGTAGACTTATGATAAATGGTGTACTATTTGTATGAAATAGAATAAACCCAGTAAGGAAAGTAGTAAAGTCGGACTGGGCCCTCCACCACTTTGGGTATATTCTACATATTCTAAAAGACATCGCCTTTTCGAAGGAACATTACAGGCCATTCTGCAACCTATGCTAAATTTTCTAAATCGATTTAAAGCAAGCTTGACAGACGCTATTCGATATGCTGCGCTTTTTAAAATTTTATCTCAATCAGACACACAAGGATTATTTGGTGTATAATTAATATGAATAGGTCGAATTTATATATCGAAGCTATGCTATATCTTAATCTGAACCGATTTCAAGGAAACTTTCAAAAATTCAGTACGTATGCCAAAATTCGTGCAAATCGAAAGATATGTAGTGACTTAGGTACATTAAATCGAACGAAAATATATATCGGTGTTATATATAAGTCTGAACCGATTTTCGCGATACTTAGCAGACATCATTATAGACTTCAATCAGTACGCTATGCCAATTTTCATGCAAATCGAATAATTTTCAGGGACTTTGGGGCACCATTTACATTAAATCGGACGAAAATATATATGGGAGCTATATCTAAATCTGAACCGAAATTTAGCACACATCTTTTTAGACATAATTCAGTACGCTATGCCAAATTTCGTGCAAATCGAACGATATATAGAGTTTTTGAGCTCCATTTACCTTAAATCGGATGAAAATATATATGGGAGTATATCTAAATCTGAACCGATTTTCACAAAATTTAACACACAGCTTTCTAGGCATAATTCAGTACGCTATGCCAAATTTCGTACAAATCGAAAGATATATAGGGACTTTTGAGCTCCATTTACCTTAAATCGGACGAAAATATATATCGGAGTATCTCCAAATCTGAACCGATTTTCACGAAACGTCATTCTAGATTCAATTTAGTATCCTATGCCAAATTTCGTGCAAATCGAAAGATACATAGGGACTTTGATGCCCCATTTACCCTAAATCGGACAGAACTATATATGGAGCTATATCCAAATCTGAACCTGAATCTGGACCGATTTTCACGAAACTTAGCACACATCATTCTGGACCTAATTTAGTATCCTATGCTAAATTTCGTGCAAATCGAAAGATATATAGGGAATTTTGAGCTCCATTTACCTTAAATCGGACGAAAATATAGATGGGAGTATATCTAAATCTGAACCGATTTTCACGAAACTTGGCACACGTCATTCTAGACTCAATTTAGAATCTTATGCCAAATTTCGTGCAAATCGAAAGATACATAGGGACTTTGATGCCCCATTTACCTTTTATCGGACGAAGCTTTATGCGGGAGCTATATCTAAATCTGAACCGATTTTCTTCAATTTCAATAGGGTTCGTCGTTGAGCCAAATAAGTGACTTGTGCCACATTTCATCCAAATCGGATCATAAATGCGACCTGTACTTTGTTTACAATTTAACATCTACAGACGGACAGGCGGACGGGGGGACGGACATGCATAAATCGACTCAGAAAGTTATTCTATGCATATTCTCAAAAAGAACCATGTGTCTATCTCGTTTCCTTTTGCCTGGTACAAACATATGTACAAAGACATAATGAAGGGTATAAAAACGAATAATGGAGATTACCATTATATGGGGGCTATCACAACCAATTAGGTAGAAACATGTGTCCAAAACCATAAAATTACGGCATATTTTTTTGGGATACCTTTATATGGGGGCTACCCCGAAACTTTAGTCAATACTCATAATTTTTCGTAGGCAGATCTGATGACCAATATATCAAATTACTGCTGATTCTGTTGAAAAAAGTATCCAAAAGTTCAATATTGATAATTTTCGGTTTGAATATTTGATTCCCGATGAGAACCAAACGCAAATTACAAACAATTCGGTTGAAACATGTGTCAAAAATTCAACATATCGATGTATTCCATGCGGAATGACAAATTTTATTTACACTCCACCTTATGATGGAGAGTATAAAATGTGAAATCTTCGGCATGTCCATTACCGCCGATCTAGTAGACCCAGAACTAAAACAAAAACAAGTGTCAGTTGGTGTTGCCGGCAGCCTCCGTCATAGGCTCTCCAAAAGGAGAGCTTGTTTCAAATTTGTCACTCCATTATTTTGATATTGAATTTAGAACATTTCAGAATTTAGTCCCTTTACTTGAGAGGCACAGCTACTATACTCATGTTTGGATATGAATTATTTTTCTATAATATATTACGATGTTGAAAGTTCGATATAAATCGGACACTCCATTTGTTCCAAATTTGAAGCCAATTATTCCCATATTCAAACATTATAATGGCTTGATTAAAATATTACGTTGTGCTTGGTTAAATTTCGATACTCTGTTCGCATGATATTATAAAATTAATTTTTAACAAAATTGTGTTCATTTTATGTGGGAGGAAACGAATCTGGTCTAAATAAATATGGGTTCTAAAACCGATATTTCGATGCGGCACATTTTTATCGTAGCAAAGTGTATATAGCCTAATAAGACAAAATTAGGCTCCGCAACCTCTAGATAATTATTTCGTTTGATAGGTTCGGAGATTTTGGGGAAATTTGTAGGAAAACATATATAAAGGATTCACGATTTTTGGAATTTTAATGTCAAGTATTTGATTTGCAGAATCCATTGCAAAAATGGGCTTTGAATTGCTTCTATAATACATTGTCTTCGTTAATTTTTCTTCAGTTTTTCTAACATTTCAATAATGCAATGAAATAGTCACTGGCGATGGTTCTGAACAGTGATATTCTCTGAGAATCTCAATTTATCTGTTAGATCAAATTATGGAATAATTCATCCTGCAGCAATATGTATACTTCCCAGAAGTATGGAACCATGTTCATTTATTACTCTGTTGGCATTTCGTCTCAGAATGCCCGGCAGAGATTTAATGTGTTTATTTTGGTTTTTTGTTTCTTCTTTTTTGTCATGTCTTGTCTCGAATAATTTATTGTTTATATCGAAATAATTTGGAAAATGAAAGAGAGGAAAATTTGCGCAAATAGTGCTAAAGTAGGAAAATAGTTCTGATATTAATGAAATGTTTACATTTTGGTTAAAATAGTGTCTTTCTCAGGAGTATAAGAATGTTTACTTGTACTCTGTGACCATAAGTTGCTAGTTGGAATTTTCGGAGAATAGAAAAATTTTTAAAAGAAAACGGTTTTCGTATGCCCATTTTTAATAGCATTCCCTTCACATACATGGTCGGAACATGCTCTTTTGAAGGTCTATGTTTTCACATATACACAACCGGCTCATATTAGGTTTTTTCTAAGCAACATATTTAACCCAGTTGGCTGTAATTTGGCTTTTAGAGTTATCAGAGAGTAAAAACACTCATTCCGAAAACTATCAATCGATTTTAAATATAGTCACATGATTTGGAATTGCACCAAAATAAAAATTCCGCCTCATTTTTTATATTTTTAACGCCGATTTCTACAACCAAAATACATTATATCAAAGTTTTATCAGAAAATTAAAAAAAAAATAAAATTTTAATATTCCTACTTTTCGAATTAAAAATATTTTATTTTCTTTCGCATTTTAATATTCAAATTTGTATGTATTAAATTTTATAATCCGATTTGAATATTTATTTATTAATAGGACCGCCAAGAAGCTCTAAAACGTACAACGATGATGGATGACCCAACGACGTATCGTGCAAAGGGCACCAAACCGCCAAGTAAAATTGAGACAGTGGAAAATACAAAAGAAAAGACACAACAACATGAAAGTAACAGCAACAACAACAATAATAATAACAACAACATCAGTCATATACCAAAACCACCGGTAAATAATTAATTTTAAACAATTAATCATCCACTTATCTACCTTGTGTTTTGTTTGCCTTTTCTTTCCATTTAGCCCATGCAGTTGATGTCACCACCATCGAATAACAACAGCAACAATCTAAAAACCCAACAGTTTTCACAAAAATCCCAGGCCTTTAATTCATCCAAACCATCGTCGTCGTCTTTGTATTCTAATGAATCGCCTTCCAGTGTTACGCTAAGATCATCAACAGCATCATCAAATGGTGTGGCCAGTGAATCTTCCCTTTATCGTAATTCTAATCGGAATACCACCTCTGTCCCATGTCCCCCTACCAGTCAAAATCGTCAAACTCTACGATTGGGTACCGTTACCATTGGGGAATATCATCAGCCGGGTGCTCGTAAAGAACCGGAAAAGTTTGATTTTATTAGTTCAACAATAAAACGTAATGATGGCGATTCCGCACCGGCAACAGCAAATGGAGCATATCACCATGAAACGCTACAAAGTGAATTGCACAGCACCCTGTCAAGGTCGAAATTGAAAAAGACAAATGGTTCGGTGTTGGAACATCAGCGTAATTGTCCACTACATCAAAGTCAACAACAAATGCAACAGCAGAATCAGAATCAGCACCAGAATCACCATCAGCAACAACATAATCATCATCAACATCACCATAATCAACATCAACATTCGTCCCAACCTCACCATCCATCGCAATATGAATATCAAAATGTCAATTTCAATAATACCTACAGTGTATCCGAGATGGCAAATAAATTGCAAAAGACATCCATCAATGGTGCTGGTGGTGGCGGTGGTTCTAATAACACCTCATCTGGCACTGGCACCACCCCTAGTGTCGGTGGTATTTTAAAGAATGGCAATCGCAATAGTTCGTCCAACGGCAGCAGTAATAAATCCACTGAAAAATCCATTAAATTTGGTTAAGTGGTTGGAGGTGTCCGGTGGTGCTCCATGCAAACTGTCACAAAATCCGAATGCGAATTTATTTGCAATATATTTTCATAGTTTTTATGTTGTTGTGTATATTATAGCATACAGAGTTATTAATATTATTATTATTATTATTTATATGTAGAGGTGCAATGCTAGGGGAGGAGGGGCGTTATGCTTGGCTTAGGTTTAGTATCATTGTTATCTAAAACATATGGCAAAATAGTGAGGGTCCTAAAATATGTTTAAACAGAAAGGAACTTTTCAAACTGTCGGACCCATTTGTTCGCTCTTTTTTTTTCTTTGATTTGTTTAGTATACCCAATGATGACAATGATCCTAAATCCGTCGAAGCATTACTCTCTTAATTAGACTTGCACCCTAATAAGTTGATGTAATTTTTACAATTGCATGTATTTTATTTAGCTATAAGCAATACAAAAATGTGCTTCTATATTATATGCGATATATATCTACTATATTTTGTATATACATATTTATGTTAATGTGCAATAAAATGTATAATCTAAAAAAAAAATTAAGTGAGTTTTCTCGATATTGTAAAAGAAAATTTACTAACATCTACAGTTTTGAAATTTTCGATATTTCCATATCGTTGAGTCTGAATAAGACATAAGACAAATATTCTGTACTCTAATGCACCTTTGAATATTGAAGGTTGAAATTTTGTATGTATGTTTTTTAAAATATTCAATTAATCGAAATTTGGTATGTTGCCGTACTACAAGGATCTACTACTTCTATTCTTTCGATAGTAGCCAAGGTTTAAGAGTCCCTATCGCTTCGTCTCTGAAACAGCATTTTGTTCTTGCTGCCCAACATCGGCTTTGCATTTATATCGGAATAATTTGGAAAATGCTTATGCGAATTTTGTAACACCAATGTGGAGGTCGGTAAGAGTGTTTAAAATCAATAAACAATGGAATACTTAACTAGTCGCAATCGAGTGAGTGGAAAGTCGGTGGTTGTTAGCAGCAGAAACATTTGTCAAGAAAATTTTTGATATACCCATTTTTATACCCATCACCACCATCGAGATAGACCCATGGTTCCTTTTGAGAATATGCATAGAATCTGATTTGGATAAAATTTGGCACAGTTCACTTATTTGGCCCAAGGACGTACCCTATTGAAATTGGAGAAAATCGGTTCAGATTTAGATATAGCTTCCATATAGTGTCGTCCGATTTTTGGTGAATGATGCACCAAACTCCCAATATATATACGATTGGGACAAATTTTTGCACAGAGTACTGGATTAGGTCCAGATTGATGTCCGCGAAGTTTTGTACAAATCGGTTCAGATTTAGATTTAACTCCTATATATAGTATCGTCCGATTTTATGTGAATGATGCACCAAACTCCCAATATTTGTCCGAATGAGACAAAATTTTGCACAGAGTATTAAATTAGGTCCATACTGATGTCTACGAAGTTTTGTTAAAATCGGTTCATATTTAGATATAGCTCCCATATATTTGTTCCGTCCGATTTTTTGTGAATGATACATCAAACTCCCAATATTTGTCCGATTGGGACAAAATTTTGCACAGCGCGCTGAAATTTGACAGAGGGTATTAAATTGAATATAGAGTGACAACAAAAAACAAATGGTGTATGCAACGGTTGCTCAATTAGGTCCATGTGTTTATATATAGCTCCCATACATAATTTTACTCGATTTCATACAAATGGTACACCAAAGAATCCAAGTCTGTCCGTTTGACATGTAATTTTTTTTGTTGATTTCTGAATGGTATGTGTATGGAGATTTTCAATTGGTTCAAATATCTATCTTGATAGCACATTTAATTTCGTCCGATTAATCGTCCTCTAAAGATTATATGTCTGTTCTATCTACAGGATTTTGTAGATATTAACAAAGTGGTGATGGGTATCATATAGTCGGCCCCGCCCGACTTTTGAACTTTCTTGACTGGTTTTAATATCATCCCCTTCGTATACAAGGTTGGAATTTTCCCTTTTGAAGGTGTATGATTTTACATATTCAGGACCGACTCCATCTAAGACTTTTTAAACAATATTATTCAACAAAGTTGGCTGGAATTTGGCTTCTAGAGTTATCAGATAGTAAAAAACACTCATTTCAATATAGGCTCATGATTTGAAATTGCACTAAAATAAAAACCAGTGAGCGGAGCAGTATAGTCGGACGGGCCGACCATACGATACCCTACACAACTACCACGGAACTCAAATTTTCTGCGGATGTTTATTCCGAGACTGGGCAATATTTCGTGATATTTGCCCCTTCTTCCTCACATTGACATATTTTCCGAATATTACGAGTATTCAGTACAGCTATTGTCCAGATGCCCTTCACCGTGAGTTGTGTTGTGATGTTCGGCTTTCATTTGAGGTCTATAGATCGACTCGAAAATAACACAAAAAATTAAGTTTTCGGTCCACTTCATTCCAAAATTATTATCTGATCAGCACCGAAAATTATAGGCGTTGTCCTTGACCATAACTGGAACCTCATGGAACATTTCAAAGCGATCAGCGCTATAGTTCCGCTCTCCAGAGTGATAATGGGTTACTAAATAATATACGAATATGGAGATACCTGTAAATATTTAGGTGTAACTCCCACATCCGAGCACATACAACAATATAATTGGTCTTAATTTAAAGGTCAACCACTCCTCTTGGATATAATATCAACTTCTCGGGTATATGTCCTTCAGGGGTAAATATATACGCCATAGAATACAAATTTTGTAATTTTTCACACAAAAGTCAGGGTCCATTTGACCCGATCTTTCTCCAAACAGGCATGCTTTTTCTTTGGCCCGTTCCGCTTCTCCATGCAAAATTTCACGATGTTCGGACCATTGTTGCGCCCTCTGGAGCGACCAGAAAAACCGATAAAAATTAAGTATTTGGTCCATTTCATCCCCTAAATATTAACCGATCTTTCCCAAAAACAATAGGGGTCTTCATTGGCCAGAACCCATTCTACATGCAAAATTTCGTGAAGATTGGTCCATAACTGTGGCCTGTATCGTGTTTAAAAATTGTAATGGACAGACGGACGGACGGACACACATGTCTATCTCGACTCAGCTAGTCGAGATATGACGATCGGTATACTTAAAGGTGGGTCTAGGACCAATATTTCGCGGCGTTACAAACTTTTGGGGCTGCACAAAGCTATAATACCCTAACAACATAGTTGTGTAGGGTATAAAGAGTCCCTATTACTTCCGTCCCTGAAACATCATTTTGTTCCTGCTACCCAATAACGGCTTTGCAAGAAATTACTTCCAAGACTGTGAATGGGTACAATTAGCGACGACCACCTGAACGGACCATTGTGGCAGCCTTAGATCTGTCCAAGGTGTTCAATACGGTCGATCATTCCGAACTGATTTCCGACATCACAAACTCCACCCTTCCCCGTGACATCATGCGTTGGCCAACTACCCTAATGGTTGGCAAGCCTTCGTTGAGTTCCGTAGTCAAAAATCCAAATACCGCAAGATTAAAATGGGAGTAATGCAAGGCGGTGTATCTCTCCAGTTCAGAAATTCAGCTACACCCACTGGCTGCAACCACACATCTTCTGTAGTAAGTCGGGAAGATTTGGCAGGGCAATTGAATAAGTACAGTGTGGTATGAGTGCCCGTTCCACATGCTGGACAGACATTCTGCTCTGGTAATCAATCCATGCCCAATACGAATTGAGACGACTGCATCATTCTGATCGTATTTGGGCCAAAGCTACTCTGGTTGGTCTTAGCAGCAGACGTTCTTCAGGTGCGATGGGTGAGGGGTGAGCTCCGAGGACGGCATTCATTCTGTATTTGTTCAGCGCTGCGGCAACTGCAAAAGTATGAATGCTATTCTTTTTTATATCGTTGGATCTCTCTGTCTAGAACATGCAGATCATTCCTGACATGCATGGGTGCGGTGTCATCCTAAATATTATCAACCTAACCATATGATAGTTAGGATGATATTGCCTGAAGCACCCGAGCAGGTATTGCAACGAAAGCATATTGCTATGCTGACGTAATGGAAGGATCTTCGTCTCGTCATGAGGATGGTCCGCTGTTGTCACGAGGACAGGTATTCGTAGACCACACTGGTGTCGCATAGGTAGCCACAGCCGACATATCGTTTTATATGAGGTCAACAAGGTTTCCTTATCTGCGTCCTAAGTGCTGCCGGCAAGCGAACTTCCTCCTACTTTTCAGTGTATCGCAGATAGATGTGGTTTGCGTGGATGATTTAAACATGCTGTCGAATGTGACCTCGAGTATTTTGGGGTGGTTGGTGGACACAATCGGATTGGTTCTTTAGCTTTCAATATTTCGGATAATTGAATAAATATATTTTGTCTGGAATAAATCAATACATACCTTCTTAATTGTTACTTAAACAGTATACCTTGCATTTCTAATCATTATATTTTTATTAATTTATTTCGTGTTCGACTTTTTGTTACAAAAATTTTTATATTTTTAATAATTAATTTTCCCTTTGAGGTCTTATTAAAAAAATAAATAAAAAATCTCAAAATATGGCCAGCAATAATATACAGAAAATTGTACAAAACAATTTTCATTTGAATGTGAGTATGGACCAGCTAAAATTTAAGAAAAAAAATCAGATTTGAATTTTGCAATTCCTGTAGCCCTGGGTACTATCGAAAAATACCAATGAGATTGTCAATACCTACATACAAAAGATCTATAAACAAATGCCGTTTACGTTTAGGAAGGGTAAGATGAGCCTAGGTTGAGAGAATATATTGTTATTAATGAGGTTCTAGTTACAGATCATAAGCCCCCCAAAATAGCTGCCGAACGTCCCGAAAACAAAGCTCCCATACGAACCTTTAAATCACAACAAATGACGGAACAACAGGACACAAAAATAATACCACAAACAACGAACGTACCCGTGAAGAAATCTGCCCGCTCCAAGCCCCCAAAACTTAATCATGAACGTCTGATGCAAATATTGGGTGCAAGTAATCAAAATAATCAACAAATTCGTAAGAAAAGTACGGCTACCATAAACACGATTCTCAATCAAAAGAAACCCATAAAATCTCCCAATTTAAAAATATATGGTTCAAGACGTTATGGTTCCAGTGCTAGTAGTTCTCGTTCAAGTCTCTTTCGCAGGCATGAGGATAAGCGTCGTAAACATCAGTCCTCCTTTCAAACCCAATTGAATATTATGGCTCGTTCGTATCATAGTGGTGGTCACTTCCATGATTCCATTGCAAAATGTTTAATGCCGCTGCGAAATCAATATGTCAAGGGTAATTTGGGTTCGCTACCCGAAGCAATGAGAGTCAGCTCGTCGATACAAAATGATCTAATGATAATTGATGATGTTTTGCGTAATCGTATCTCAGTGAATGGTGGGAGGAAGCTAAATGATATATCACACATGAAAATCACATTGGATCCGACTGATCGCCTTAAGGCCTGGAAACATCCACCACCATTGGAGAAGTTTCCAATTCATAACATAAATGAATTGTTGGCCAAGTCGAGTAACAAACAGATGAAGGTTCCAGCCGAGAAGCCTAGCATTAGTAGAAGTCGTTTGAATCTTTTCAAATATTCTTCACCAAATGATTCGGAATTTAGGAATCTAGAATTGAAAGAATGGCATAGACGTAATCGCATGAAGAAATTGGGACTTATTAAAGATCCCATAAAACCTACCGGGAATAACAATCCAACAAATGTGGAAGGAGCTAAATTAAGGTCGACTCAAAATAAAAATCTGTGTGATGCAAATGTTTCTGAGTTGAACAATTGCTGTAACGTTGGGCGCCATTTTACTTATCATGACACAAGTACAAAAATGATGGTGAAACCCCAAGAACGCAAAATTGCCTCTTCAAAATATGGAAATATAAAATCATCAAGTGCTGTAAAAAGTCGTCCTTCCCCTACCGATGTTATAGTTAGTCCCTCATCGTCGGAATCCTCAACATTCCCAGTTCGTTTAAATGTACCATTGACAGCAGTGAATTTAAATGCCATGCTGGCAAACAAAGCCCCTATGGGCTGTATAGAGACCATTGGTCTTTATAAAGCCCCTATGGGCTGTATAGAGACCATTGGTCTTTATAAAGCCCCTATGGGCTGTATAGAGACCATTGGTCTTTATGAAGCCCCTATTGGGCTGTATAGAGACCATTGGTCTTTATGAAGCCCCTATTGGGCTGTATAGAGACCATTGGTCTTTATAAAGCCCATTTGGGCTGTATAGAGACCATTGGTCTTTATAAAGCCCCTGTGGGCTGTATAGAGACCATTGGTCTTTATAAAGCCCCTATTGGGCTGTATAGAGACCATTGGTCTTTATAAAGCCCCTATTGGGCTGTATAGAGACCATTGGTCTTTATAAAGCCCCTATTGGGCTGTATAGAGACCATTGGTCTTTATAAAGCCCCTATTGGGCCCCTGTGGGCTGTATAGAGACCATTGGTCTTTATAAAGCCCCTATTGGGCTGTATAGAGACCATTGGTCTTTATAAAGCCCCTATTGGGCTGTATAGAGACCATTGGTCTTTATAAAGCCCCTATTGGGCTGTATAGAGACCATTGGTCTTTATAAAGCCCCTATTGGGCTGTATAGAGACCGTTGGTCTTTATAAAGCCCCTATTGGGCTGTATAGAGACCATTGGTCTTTATAAAGCCCCTATGCGCTGTATAGAGACCACTGGTCTTTATAAAGCCCCTATGCGCTGTATAGAGACCATTGGTCTTTATAAAGCCCATTTGGGCTGTATAGAGACCATTGGTCTTTATAAAGCCCCTGTGGGCTGTATAGAGACCATTGGTCTTTATAAAGCCCCTGTGGGCTGTATAGAGACCATTGGTCTTTATAAAGCCCCTGTGGGCTGTATAGAGACCATTGGTCTTTATAAAGCCCCTGTGGGCTGTATAGAGACCATTGGTCTTTATAAAGCCCCTGTGGGCTGTATAGAGACCATTGGTCTTTGTATAGAGACCATTGGTCTTTATAAAGCCCCTGTGGGCTGTATAGAGACCATTGGTCTTTATAAAGCCCCTGTGGGCTGTATAGAGACCATTGGTCTTTATAAAGCCCCTGTGGGCTGTATAGAGACCATTGGTCTTTATAAAGCCCCTGTGGGCTGTATAGAGACCATTGGTCTTTATAAAGCCCCTGTGGGCTGTATAGAGACCATTGGTCTTTATAAAGCCCCTGTGGGCTGTATAGAGACCATTGGTCTTTATAAAGCCCCATTTGGGGTGTATAGAGATCAAGGGTCTTTATAAAGCTCCATTTGGACTGTATAGAGACCATTGGTCTTTATAATGCCCCTGTGGGCTGTAAAGAGACCATTGGTCTTTATAAAGCCCCTGTGGCTGTATAGAGTCCATTGGTCTTTATAAAGCCCCTGTGGGCTATATAGAGACCATTGGGTTGTATATAGCTCATTTGGGCTGTATAGAGACCATTGGTCTTTATAAAGCCCATTTTTGCTGTGTATAGACCATCGGTCTTTATAAAGCCCATTTGGGCAATTTGGGCTGTATAGAGACCATCCAATAAAAGCCACATTTCGGAAAGAATTCTATTGAAAAATGCATAAGTATATTTATACATTTCTTTAAATATGGGTTCCTTTTGAAGCTAAAAACTACTTGGACATAAACTCATTGAACCATCTCCACCCAGAGAATACATCGAACGCGTATGAACCAAGGCATGACATAGTTCCTCTTCTGCAAGAACATCAGTGCTAGAAAACGGTGATGAACCATTTATATGCATTAAATTGGGATGTGACAAACGTATTGTAGATATTCGCTCACGCCATGTATTCCAAAACAACTGGAATTTAGAAACAAAATGAAAATATTCAGATTCCAATTGCTTCTTTACACACAACATACACACCCACATTTTTATATAAATGTCCACCAAATTCAAAGAACATTGGCTGCGCTTCCTCTTCATCACAGATGATAATTCGCATGAGCTCTCGTTTTTGTTTGCGAAAGAAATTCAATTTGACGAATTGTAATGGCAGCATACTGACCAATTCAAATGTTTCAATTTCCGGATCTTTAGTGGTGCCATGGACATTTTGCAAATCGCTTTTATCAAAATCATCACAACCGAAGAGCAGTTTGGAACGTGTCAAACCTGAGGAGTGGTATTATTTATTTCTATGTATGTATGTTTATATGTGCATTTATATTCCTTTGACTTATGACTTACCAATATGAAATTGCCTCAAACCGATGCCATCTTCTGTCACCTGGGTAAAAGGATTCTCCACAATAACAGGTTCGTAGATCTCTTCGTATTCTTCCATCATTAGTTTTTGTATACGAAACATGTAGGGATTATTTTTTAAATATTGTAATTGTCATAATGAACTTTCATTTTTATAATAGAATGTCCTGAACATTTGGGCTGTTTTTCCCACACAGTTTTTTCAAAATGTTGCTGTAAATTAATTTTGTAATATCATGCGTACGGGCTATTCGATTTTAAGCCTGTATATTGTTGAAAGATAGGACTCATCGGTTCATTGCCCCCACAAAGGGTCAACATTTTCAATTTTTATAAATCCAATATTAAGTGCGTAGAATGTCCAATTTGAACCAAACTCTCCCATCAAGTCCGAAGATGGGACCCATAGGCCCACACCTTGGTATACCTCTCCCGCAAAGGGTCAACATTTTACAAACACGAAAATTTAATTTGAAGCGAATTGAATAGCCGATTAAATTCATTGCTTGCACATCGTAATATTTTACCAAACCGGCTTCAAATTCGAAGATGGAATATATAGGGCAAGTTCTTCAGGTACCTCTCCACAGATAGCCAACCCTTTGACCAAACCAACACTTAAACAAACTCTTAACCACGTTACATCGTCTAAACCTGCTACAACAATGTAATAATAACCGCTGAAATGTTAATGAGCTTTCATGTAAAAGCTTTCGCTAACATATTCCGTTACATAGCTCTGTATAAGCTTTTATAATGTGCGCGAACAGTTGTTAAATCCAAAATTGTATTTATCTGTCAGTCAGTCAGTGGGGCAAATCCACCATAATGGGCATGCGCGCACAATTATCTCGAAAATATGGCATGTGTAGCTGTTGGAATTTTGTGTGTGTTTGTTTGTTTTTTGCAGAAGACTGGATTTTCTTTAGGCCAGTAATATCGCATCTCTTTCACATCGACCAACAAGTGTAGAAACAACGACAACAACAACATCAGCAGCACCGATAATACCAGTAATGTGTACCCAAAAAACAAGATTATTACACAATTCATAAATATTTGCTAAAATATAGTTATGGACACTCAGCACCGGCACATAGCTTAATAATTGTTTAAAGACAGAGGCGTAGAAGAGGTGGGGTTTTAAGGGGGTGGGTAGGGGAAACAATTTGAGAATTTGTTTATTTTTTATGTTAGAAATCTTTGTCACAGTATAATTATTTTGAACACTTTAAATTTTAGCTTTGTTTGCTATTATCGAAAGCTGATCGCTTCGACAATGTACATCATTCTCTTATTTTGTCTGGATTTCAAAAACAAATTAAAATAGATTTTTTGATAATGATCGGAAAATATGTCCGATGAGCCAAAACTTTTGAAGAAGCTTTCAGAAAACATGATCCAGAAAATGTGACAGGGTAAGAAAGAGAAGCTGTTGACCACTAACTGAAAATATTGTCGAGGCTACGCAGAAGTTTAAAGTTCCGTAGTAGTTGTGTGGTCGACCGAGTGTGACTCACTGGTGTTTATTATTTTAAAGGTTACAGCCACATTTTCTGACAGAAAAGGTTGTTCCTTGGTATTCCAAGATTTTGGAGGAAAAATAAAATTTTGCCGATTTTTTTAAGTCTATGTTCTAATATACACTCCATATAAAAAGCCCATCTACTTTAAGTAATTTCAAGGTTATTATTCAACCAAAATGTCTCTAATTTGGCATTTCGGGTTCCGGGTATTCTTAAAAAAAAACAGTAAGGAAAGTAGTAAAGTCGGACATAAAATCGGACGAAAACATATATGGAAGCTATATCTAACTCTGAACGGATTTTCGCGAAACTTAGCACACGTCATTCTAGCGTTAATTCAGTGCGCTATACCAAAATTCATGCAAATAAAAAGATTTCCAAGGCTTCGAGCGAAGCTATATATGGGAGCTACATCTAAATCTGAAACGATTTTCACGAAACTTTGCACACATCATTCTAGACTTAATTTAGTACGCTGTGCCAAATGTCGTGCAAATCGAAAGATATATAGGGACATTGGTACATAATTTACCTTGAATCGGACGAAGATATATATGAGAGCTATATCTAAATCTGAACCGATTTTCACGAAACTTGGCAGACATCATTTTAGACTTAATTCAGTACGCTATGCCAAAGTTCGTGCAAATCGAAAGATATATAGGGACTTTGATACACAATTTACCTTAAATCGGACGAAGATATATATGGGAGCTATATCTAAATCTGAACCGATTTTTCCCAATTTCAATAGGGTTCGTCCTTGGGCCAAATAAGTGACCTATGCCAAATTTCATCCAAATCGGGTCATAAATGCGACCTGTACTTTGTTCACAAAAATACATGGACGGACGGACGGACGGACATGCGTAAATCGACTCAGAAAGTGATTCTATGAATATTCTCAAAAAGAACCATGTGTCTATCTCGTTTCCTTTTGCCTGTTACAAACATATGCACAAAGACATAATACCCTGTACCACAGTGTTGTGAAGGGTATTAAAAAAAGATTTAAAGTTTTTAAACACGATACAGACCACAGTTATGGATCAATCTTCACGAAATTTTGCATGTAGGTTGGGTTTTGCCCAATAAAGGCCCCTATTTTTGGTAAAGATCGGTTAATATTTAGAGGATGAAATGGACCAAAAATTTAATTTTTTCGGTTTTTCTGGTCGCTCCAGAGGCCGCAATTATGGTCCAAGCATTGCGGATTTTTACATGGAGAAGGGGATCGGGCCAAAGAATTGACTGACTGACTTTTGTGTGAAAAATGACAATATATATATATATATATATGTATATATTTAACCATGAGTAGAGGTTGACCTTTAAATTTATGTGGGAGATAGACTTAAATATTTACAGGGGCTTACGTATTCATATATTATTTAGTAACCCATTACCATACTAGAGGGCGGAAATATAGCGATGATCGCTTTGAAATTTTCCATAAGGATCCAGGTATGGTCAAGGACAACGCCTGTTAAAACTTACATTTTTGTGTTTTTTTCGAGTCGATATATAGTCCACAATTGAAAGCCAAACATCACAACACAACCCGCGGTGAAGGGAATGTGGACAAGTAATTAGAAGAGCTGTACTGAATATTAGTAATATTTGTTAACCTCTAGAAGTTCTAGGGGCATTTTTAGCCGATCCCGTTGTAATTTTTGTTCTCAAATGATGAAAGAAAACGTGCTGGAACGTTTTCCAAAACGAACCCCTATATTAATATATCAATCCAATTCAATTTTGTTATGGCCGAAAATCTTTTTAATCCTACTCTATATATTCTAAACGTCATAACCATTTCAAAAGAAGTGGACAATTTATACATCGGGCTACACTATCTCTATAAGACCTATAGGTCCATTGATCCTTTCAGGAATAGTTTAAGCTATAGTAACATAATTGTAATAGTTTCGAAAGTCTTTTATCTATAGATCACCCACAGACGGTATTTCATATATGGAAGACCTATAGAAGGAACTTCTAAATGTACAATACCTATAAAAGGGCACCTAGAATGTTTTTTTGTCTAAAGAAAACCCATGGAATGTCTTCAAGGTTTAGAAAATCTATAGAAAGTCTTTAGAGTACCAATGGAAGGTAATAAAATATCGTAGGACCTTGCAGGAATATTTAAATCTATATTAATATTGTTCCAATTAATTGTTTCGAAGGATTTTTTGTATAAAGGCCTATGGCCTTTCATCTGTGAAGGGCCTATACAAATTGTGTAAAACACATATGATGACTCCCATCTATGGAAGACCTATAGATCCGCACAACAATATAGCTTCAAGTTGATTATACCACACGAAGTTTTTGTTTGGATCCAAATGTAGGAAGATTTTTAAACTGAACTCAAAGATGATTTTGATAGTTTGGTTCCTCAATACACCCCTCCAAATGCACAAAACTGCATACGCCACTGCCTTGCTTCACCTTAACTCATTTGGCCAACAATAATAATTGGCCAAGTCTCGTTTTATGAAAGTGCATCGTTATTGGAAAGCATTTTTTATGAAAAAAATATATATGAAAGAAATATTACGTCTAAACTTCTGGATTGCAAAAAAATAATTGGATCGGCGTTAAGTCTTTCATTGTACCCGCTACAGTGAGCTGCGGCGCCCCATATCGTATAGCATCCATTTAGACATTCATTCATTCAAACACTTGAAGTGATTCACTTCCTTCCTCATTGATTGCGAAAGATGTTGTTGACAGTGGTAGCGCGAGTTAGAGTTACGTTTTACTTTTCATCTCACTCTCAATTTTTGAGATATGGTGGTAAAGCTGCTCTCATCATTAGCAGCTCTTAATAAGATGACCATGGACATTTTGATGTAAACTGGGCAATCAAACAATAGCTTGGCCAGACAAAACCCCACATATGTTTGCATGTACCTTGGATCGACTATGTTGGCTGGCTGGCCAAAAAAAAGCTTTTTCTGCAGTTGTATGTTCGAGTGTGTGCGTTTCTTTCCCGAACTATAAAAAAATGTGTGCAATGATGTCGCAGGTTTTTTGTTACAATTTTTGTTTTTGGTTTTTGGCTTTTTGTTTGGCTGTTAAGCCTTTGGCCTCAAATACAAATCGTGATTTAAAGCACACCGCCTATTTAGTTGGATTTTACAAATTGTACGAATTGGTAGTGCTTAACGGAACTCCAAAACTTCGTGTTGCTTTTCATCTCAATATAATTTTTTTAAGTTTGTTCATTATAATTAAACAAAACTCCAATTTTTTTGATCGCAATGAAACTATTTTGTGTCTTGACCATTAATGTGGTGTTGTTGTTGTCGACATTGTGTGTTGCCTTGCCATTGGAAAAACAACAACAAGAAATCATATTTAAAGATCAAAGTTCCGATGACATTGACATGGACGTAGCGGAATCTATAAATATTCCACTGGTGACAAAAACTGTAAATCAACCGGAGAAAAATAGTGATGATACGGGAATTGCTGGTGTGCCTAAGAATTCTGAACGCATTGCCCGTCAATTGGATATTGAAACTGCGGAAAGTGTTAACTATGGTTTGCAGGCGAATAGCCCACAATCTGATGATTTCGATATACATTCACAAGCGGAAGATGCTGCATCTGATTCAAAATCTGGATTTAGGGTAATGTATAAAGAGAGGATTTAAAAAATAATAAGTGTTAGTAAATAACAACAAATTAAATAAATAGACAAATTAAAAAGACTCGAAAAATAAGAAAAAAAATTACCGACAATTAGGTCAATGACAAGAACCTAATAACATGTTAATGGGTGAATAAACATTCCATAGATGATGGCCACCTTTATGATCATCTTGAAAACATGTCTCTAAGTGTGGTAATTTTATGGTAGCGGAAGTATGACAATTTATTACAATTAAAAATACTTAAAGCTTCCAGGACCTGCAAAAATCTACAAATTTTAAACAAGACATGACTTGAAATCGATTTTTAGGTATTTCGATGGATTCATCCTCACTCTTCAAGTTATATATACGCTTTTCTGTATTTACAGAATAAAACATAACTTCCTAGAATGTTTTTACATTGACTTCCCATTCCATTTTAGGTATTTCCTATGTCAAAAAAAGGTTCCGTCTTTGGAAATTCCGTCACTTTGGAAATTAAAAAAAGTAAAAACGTACCAGTCTGTATCTTCAGCCCATGTTCTTGCGGAGGTCTACAGAATTACACACATGTTTTATTATTTTTATTTGTACATACCAAAGGGAGTGAAACGATGGTTTTAATTTTCGGACTTGATCTAGGTAATTAACATTTGCAAAGTTTTTATCAAATCGGACATTCAATACGCTCAATATTGGATTATTAGTTTTCGACCCACGTGTTCCATCTTCGGATATAGTCTAAGTATGGTAAAAATACTACATTGTACAAAGTTTCAATGAAATTGAATATTCCATTCGCTTTAAATTGACCCTAGAAGGAGTGGAACAATGGGTCCCACCTTCATAATTGCTAAAATAATAGTTTGTGAAAAGTTTAATTCAAATCGGATAGTCCGTACGTATGATATTATAAAAATAATGTTAAGTCTATTTTTCAACATTTTGTGGAGGTGGTACTAGAAATAGTGGGGTCCCATCCACTTTCGATTAAAGCGGAAATTCCGTTCGCTTGCACAAATTTTAAATTTAGACCTTTTGTGGGGAAGGTACTCGAAGGGGTGGGCCGATAAATCCCATTATTCAACTTTATACAGCCTTGGTTCAAATTTTAGGTTTTACAAAGTTTAGTTCAAATCGAAAAGTCCGTTTACGTGATAATATAAAATAAATTTTCAGAAAAATGCTTAGCATTTTGTGGGGGAGGTACCATACGGAATGGACCGATATCCTCCATCTTCGAATTGGATCTAACATTGGAATAAATAAATATTTGAATGAAATCGGTTACTCCCTTCGAGATGTATCGTGGGCGCCATCCGGACGGACATTTGTAAATCGACTTCAAATTGTCTGAAACGGATTTGGCCCGAAGAAACATGGGGTTTTAAATCAATATTTCGATGAGACACATTTTGCTAGAATACCCGAAGAAACGATTCTGTCCATAGAGAACTATAGACGGTATTTTGTATATGACGCTCCTATATATGGAATACACATATAATAACTTCCGTTTATGAAGTACCTTCATATATTCTAAAATCTATGTATAAAAAAGTCTTCTCCCTATAGAAGGATTTATATCTATAGAATAATACCCTCTGTAGGTTCTCACAACAATGCTTTAAGTAAAATGTACCCTCGATACCCTCTAATATTCGGTATTTTGGGTAAGTTTTTTCAACAGGGTCGGATGGTATTGTAGGGTCTCATTGGATAGCAAATTCGTCCTACTTGAAATTATCGATATCGTTTTGCTTTTTAGGGTAGCCCCCCATATAATGGTACTAAAATACCGGGTTAGGTTCCATATATCAATCCTCATTATTCGGTATTATTGGGGGTTTAGGTACATTTTTCTACCGAATTGGCTTTTATTTGATTTTTTTGACATATCCTCCATATATAAGTCCCGATCGATTTTAAATGTTTTGAATATTTTTCTTGGCAGTAACCTAGGTGACGAGATTTTTTCACATCCAAAAATTCTAAAACATGTCGCTTATAAAATTTCAGATAGGGTATTCTTCTACGCAGCAGCAGCAGTTGAAGAAATAACTGGGATCTGAGCTAACTAAACTAAAACTAAGTTTTTCTGAAGATAGCTTCGGATCCCAAATATAAAACATAGCTCAAATAACATCGAATTGTATTTGATGACATTTAAGGAAGGTCGAACTGTAAATTAAATTTATATTGGGTGTATTATGTAGTAAAGTACCTTTTATTCATAGCTACCAGCCATTTATGTTTATAGCTCATAATACTTATCTTTACGACCCACAAATTTTACATTTAACGAAAGGAAAATGTGCAGGTTTACTTATTGTAAAATAATATTGCATATTTCATTTTTGTTGTGTTTTTTTGTTTCATTTTTTAGGTATCACTCTTCCAAGCTCCCGTAAAAACTCGTGAATCGGTAAATTTGGAAACTGAAGCTGTACCTTCCAAAGTTTTAAGTGTCTATGATAATAGTCAGAAATTTATTGCCGATAAAACACAAGTATGTTTGGTTTCTTTGTGTCATAAAATGTAAACTTTTAAAAAATATTTGCTTGTTTTTGTAGCCCCAACCAATTTTGGATACAATTAATGAGCATGAGAAATACGGCAACAATGGTGATATGTTTGATGGCATATCTCGTAGTTTAGTCAATGGTTATGAGGCTTTTTCTAATTTCCTAAATACAATAATAAAGGTAAGTTAAAGAACAAGACCCGCAAGAATATGCGCGAGAATATGCGAATATAAGGCAAGATCCATCGTTTGAATTCGAACTATTACTTTGGTATTTGACATAAATTCTTGTAATTTTTGAGTTAACTATATTACAAGGCTGCTCTATTATAGATGAAGTGAATAATTAATTACCCTTTTCCTCTCTCTCTCTCTCTCTCTCTCTCTCTTTAGAAACCTCAACAAATCTTCAAATCCATTAACAAGAGTGTCAATGCCCAATTGGATATAATTGGCGGTAAACTTGTGGGTCTATAATTTAGTTAGATCTTAAGTTTTTTTATTTTATAGTATTAGTATTCTTTTTTATTTTTGCAATTAGTTCTTGTATTATGCCAACACATTATTTTTTCTTTAATTATTTTCTTATATATTTTTAAAATAAATAAATTATTTGTTTAATATGAATAAATGATTTTTAATAAGGAAATAAATTTAATAAATAGTTTTTTTTTTATAAAAACTAATGGGTCCGTCCAATTTTTGTTTTCCTTTAATTTCCATTTTTGCATTTGACAACCGTTAAATATAAAAACAAACAACATGCGAAACAGTTGCAAATTTTGGTACATTGTGAGAGAGTTGTATTCTTTCGTACAAAAACCGCGTTTCACCTTATTAGTACCATGATTTCGATCATGATTTAACCCTACGGTCAATAACCAAAAAAGTATACGTAGATCAATAACCGTGGTACATTTGTACCCATCCAAAGATAGCTCTGCAACTCATTAAAAAATTGAAATATCGTGAGGTTTTTTGTTTTAAATTAGTCTATACGGATCTCATCTAGATGTAGGAACTCAAAATTATATATACATTAAAATATTATATATTTAAATCCATGCTTGCATGATAATCTATCCAAAACAATCATAGTAAATTCGTTATAGCTTTCGAATGGGATAAGTTTTTTTATTTATTTTTTTTATTGGGATCTTATTTAGGTGTTCCTCAACCCCTCTGCAAATTTTTGTGGCCCTAGAGAATATGGGGCCATCAGGGCGACTTGTGCAAGTCAGAAACTACCTTGGTTTTCCTTTGGTATACAGGGACTAAAACAAATATTATTGCAAATTATTCACATTTCATGAGTTTAGAGATTATGATTGGCGCATTTTTAACATAATTTAATATTTTAAAACGTTATTTAATGATAGTTTATATACGTACGCCAATTTAAGATTGTAATAACTCAGACTAATTCGATTATAGAAAAAGTTTCAGGTCCAATATGAAGAATAATTGAAAAATTAAGGACAATAATAATTGTTTTTGTCCCCGTATACCAAAGAAAACCAGGGTAGTTTCTGACTTGCACGAGTCGCCCTGATGGCCCCATGTTCTCTAGGGCCACAAAAATTTGCAGAGGGGTTAAGGAACACCTAAATAAGATCCCAATAAAAAATAACTAAAAAAGCTTAACCCATTCGATAGCTATAACGAATTTACTATTATTGTTTTAGATAGATTATCATTTAAGCATGGATTTAAATATATATTATTTTAATGTATATATAATTTTGAGTTCCTACATCTAGATAAGATCCGTATAGACTAATTTAAAACAAAAAACCTCACGATAGTCAAATTTTTTAATGAGTTACAGAGCTATCTTTGGATGGGTACAAATGTACCACGGTTATTGATCTACGTAGGTAATAACTTTAAAAAATTGTAAAAATTATATATATGGAACATTTTCACAATTTTTTTCTTCGATTATGTGTGAAAATACCTCAAGAACGATTCCTCAAAATTTGATCCAAATATCTCCAATATTAAAAATTTTACAACATTTTTATTCAAAAAAAGTTACAAATGTACCCGGTTATTGACCGTAGGGTTAAAATAGACCCTGCCGCACGATGATTAAATTTGTATGATAAATAATGGTAAACTCCGCCTGATTAAGAAAATAAACCCTGATTCAGCTTTTAAATGAAATTAAAGTATTCCTAATATTTGAATCGGTCCACTCCTTCTGTTTATACCCTACACCACACTGTGGTAGAGGGTATTATGTCTTTGTGCATATGTTTGTAACAGGCAAAAATAATCGAGATAGACCCATGGTTCCTTTTGAGAATATGCATAGTATCACTTTCTGAGTCGAGTTATGCATGTCCGTCCGTCTGTCCATGTTAAATTGTAAACAAAGTACAGGTCGCATTTATGATCCGAATTGGATGAAATTTGACACAGCTCATTTGTTTGGCCCAAGGACGAACTCTATTGAAATTGGGATAAGTTTCGTGCAAATCGGTTCAGATTTAGATATAGCTCCCATATATAGTTTCGCCCGATTTTAGATAAATGTTCCATCAAAGTCCCTGCAAATCTTTTGAGTTGTACGAATTTTGGTATAGCGTAACAAAATTGTGCGCCAAAGTCCCTGCAAATCTAAATTAAGTCTAGAATACTGTGTGCAAAGTTTCATGAAAATCGGTTCAGATTTAGATATAGCTCCCAAATATTTTTTTCGTCCCATTTTATGTAAATGCTGCACCAAAGCTCCCTTTATCTTTCGATTTTGGTTTAGGGTACTACATTATGTCTAGAATGATGTGTGCAAAGTTTCGTGAAAATCGGATCAGATTTACAAACACCTCCTATATATATATTTTCGTCCGATTTTATGTAAATGGTGTACTAAAGACCCCTAGCTAGGCCGATTGACACAACATACTGAAGTTAATATAAATTAATCTCTGGCAAGTTTCCTTGAAATCGGTTCAGATATAGATATAGCATAATTTCCATATATAATTTTAAGTTATTCATGTTTAATGTACACCAAACAATCAATGGGTGTTTGATTGAGATTAAATTTTAAACCGTGCAGCATACCAAATAGCGTCTCTAAATCGATTTACAAAATTCATCATAGGTTGCAGAATGACATGTGTAGGGATTGATGTTAGTCGTCTTAGATATAGATAAATATTGGTCCTAGACCCACCTTTAAGTATACCGATCGTCATATCTCGACTAGCTGAGTCGATCTAGACATGTGTGTCCGTCCGTCCGTCCGTCTGTCCATTATAATTTGTAAACACGATACAGGCCACAGCTATGGACCAATCTTCACGAAATTTTGCATGTAGGATGGGTTCTGGCCAATGAAGGCCCCTATTGTTTTTGGAAAAGATCTGTTAATATTTAGGGGATGAAATGGACCAAATACTAAATTTTTGTCGGTTTTTCTGGTCGCTCCAGAGGCCGCAATTATGGCCCAAACACCGCGAATTTTTGCATGGAGAAGGGGATCGGGCCAGAGAATAAGCATGCATGTTTTGATAAAGATCGGTCAATATTTAGCGGGTCAAATGGACCCTGACTTTTGTGTGAAAAATGACAAATTTTGTATTCTATGGCATATATATTTACTCCTGGAGGATGTAGACCCCAGGAGTTGATAGCATATCCAAGAGGAGTGGTTGGCCTTTAAATTGATACCAAATATAGTGATGTATCTACTCAGATGTGGGAGTTACAGTCAAATATTTACAGGTGCTTACGTATTCAGATATTATTTAGTAACCCATTACCACATTAGAGGGAGAAATATCGCGCTGATGGCTTTGAAATTTTTCATGAAGTTCCAGTTATGGTCAAGAACAACGCCTACAATTTTCGGTGATGATCAGATTAAAATTTTGGGATGAAATGGACGGAAAACATAATTTTTTGTGTGTGTTTCGAGTAGAGTATAATCCGAAATCACAACACAACCCATTGTGAAGGTAATCTGGACAAGTAATGTGAAGGACTGTACTGAATATTCGAAAAAAGTAAGGAAGAGATGTTGTCCTCTAATCGGACAAGAGGGGGCAAATATCACGAAATATTACTCAGACTCGGAATAAACATCCTCAGAAAGTTAGAGTTCGTGGTAGTTGTGTAGGGTATCGTATGGTCGGCCCCGTCCGACTATACTGCTCCGCTCACTGGTTTTTTAGATCGTATTATACATAACTGTATCAAAATATCAATTTCTAGAAAAATGAAATTGTTGCCTTTCCAAGTTAAGCCAAGTTAAACAGGTTAAAAAAACTAACATATGGGCAAACGCTATTTAATTCCTTACTCTGTGCTATCTTTTCTAAGTCATACAAACATTGCAACTTAACTGAACTGTTCAGGAATCGGACAAATCTATATATGGCACCGATAATCTCAAATAAACGAACTGCGCCAAATTTCATATCATTCAGACGGACGGACTGGCATGTATAAATGAATTCAAAAAGTGACTATCCTCAAAAGTAACCCATTGCCTCTTACAAACATATGCACAATGATATATTACCCTTTACCACACATACAAACAAAACTCAGGATAAGTGCCTGCTACATATGTAATTTTAAAAGAATTCTCACTAAAGAAATATTAAAAAAAAAATCGACGTCTTGAAAACGAATTACAAATCGACACCTTAAAAATATTTTAAAAATGCATATCTTGATGCCCTAAAACAATTCATTTAATATACACATATTAATACCTATATCAGACTTAAATTCATATAAGGCAGGGTGTGGACTACTGACCATGGATTTGGAATCAATTTCAATGTCAGTGATGTGCTAATATACTATTAACATTGATACCAATCCCGGCGTATACAGAACTGACCTAAATATTTCTTACGGGTATTTATAAATAGGTGTGAAAAATCTTAATTGGTTTTAGTTTGTTTTAGCATGTTTTTATTATTTATTATTATTTTCTTGTTGAGGAATGTTTTATCATCACATTATTGGTTTTGTTGTTAATTTTCTTAATACATAAAAAAATAGGCAGTATTTTTAGATATGTGTTTGTATTGGGTGTTGCTTCGAAGAGCTTCTGCACAAATAATTTTGATTCGATTTGGATTTATGACAATTTAGGATACAACTTAATTGTTGGTCTTAAAAATATACATATTTCATTTATCGGCGATTCTTATCGATTCGTATTAAATATAGCAGGCTTATTTACTAGTATTAAATATTTTGTATATTACTCACACTATTCGACTAAATATAAATAAGACTAATGTACTAATAATAATAATGACAATTATGTAGGGATAATGATAGGATTATTGATATGTAGATTTAACTTTGGTTATTTGAATTTTTTTGTAATAAATTTTATTTTAAACTTATAATTAATAATTTGTATTTAATTAATTTACAGTCAGGCAAGGTTATAACGCTTCAACGTTGTTTGATATTCGAGCTTGAAATATACCTTAAAGTTACAGCAAATTAGCACTTAAAGGATTCGTTATAACGTTACATGACTGCAATAATTTATTATATTTAAGGTATTGCATTATATTATATAATAATTTTATAACATAATTTTTTATTAAATTGCATAATTAAATAATATATTTTATAATGTGATTTATTATATAATTATAATTATTATCCTTATTTGTGTTTGGTTGCGGGTATTTGGCACATATTTCGAGAAAAAATGTCTCTGTTTTTTTGTTGCATTTGAAAAAAGGCACAATTACCAGACATTCGCTATAGTTTTTTTTTTCAATTTAAATATTGTCTCGAGATTACTGGTTTTTGATTTTTTCATTTCACATCCTTTAACTACTTTCCTACAAACTAAAACTTGGTTCAATCTTCCCAACTACTGGGTCGTGTTTGAGGATCAATCGAGGGTGAATATGACTTATAGGTATCCGATTCCTTTTTATGTTTCACGGTGCAGAATAATAGCATTGAGGTGATCAGGCCGAAAAGTTGAGCAAATGCAATACCCAAGCCGACCACACCTATGACATCCAGTTTATCGGTTAACCAGGTTTGTAGAGACTGGGCACAGCCCTTATCCCACCACAAGGTTGGGTTTTCAGATCTGTAAGAAAAATAGAGGATTTAATTATTATATTTTTGGAGAATAAATTCATATTTACCTTCCACAATCTACTCTCACAACATTGTCACCAGAACCCTCGATCAAAATACCACGATTCTCGTAAATGGGTCTACAGCAGGATTCTGGCACCCAACGTTTGCCGCTCCATGATTTGATGTCATACCAATCCTCGTATGAAGAAACACCACAGCATTCAAACTAAGAAAGAAAAATAAAATTTTAATAACACAGCAACAACAAGAGAAAAGGTTGTTGATTTGGCCGAACTTTTTCTCCTGCCATGAGGTGCGCATTGAAAAGACCTAACAGCGAATGGGAAAATTTATTTGTAAAAGAGTTTTTACAAACTCTACGTAATTTAGAAACGGCACATTGTATACCAAACACTATATGTTACTCGTCTACACCGACGACATCGATATAAAGGGTCCAACATTGCGAGCGGTAATAGCCACCTTTGAACGACTTGAGAAGGAGTCTGCCAAAGTGGGACTAGAAGTATATGGTGAGAAGACCATGCTGATGTTATCAACGCGCAGGACATCCAGCAGACCCCGACCAACTGTAGAACTTGAAAACTACAGCTTAGACTTAGCTTTCAATTTGATATACCTTGGTACCGCTGTAAACAAAACTAATAACATTAGTTTGAAATCCGGCGGAGTATATTGTTGGGCAACAGATGCTATGGTGGTCTGAGTTAGCAACTCAAAAGTAAGTCCACCTTTGACAGAAAAATTCTTCGGAAGATCGTGTCGATGATGAATATCGTCGTCGAACGAACCATGAGCTATACCATCTATTCTGGGACATCGACATAGTCAGACGGATTGAGCTACTGCGACTACGTTGGCTAGGTCATGTTGTGAGAATGGATGAGGATTCTCCCACTCAAAAGGCATATAAAAGCGAGCCAAGTGATGGTTCACACAGAAGGGGAAGGCCATGAATGCGATGGAAAGATCAAATAGAAGACAACATCTCGGAACACGGCCCTTCAAATTGGATGATATGCACACAAGACCGGCACCCTTGGAAATCTTTTTTGAGCTCGGCTTATGGAACAACCGTTCTATTACAAGCCAATGGTCCTTTACGTGGACCTACGTTGAACATTTTTTGCAAAAAAAGTTTCTTACCAACCAAGAAAATGCTGACGAAGCCATCAAAATATCGAAAATGGGCGAACTTCTGATATTTGGACTATATAAAAAGCCTGCACCTATATTCAAAATGTTCTGCAAATATTTGGACCTTCATCAAAATACCGAATATGGTGCGGGACTTTAAAATTAAGGCTATGTCAAAACGTGAACCCTTTTCCGCGAATAAGTTTCCTACCCACCAAGAAGTCGGAATATTATAAATTAGAACCTCTTCGATTGGGAAATACGGATATAAATTTCAAAATATCAACAATTCGCCGGAACTCTTATATGAGCGGACCCTTGATAATTGGCTGCAAATTGTTCTCTACCAAAAAACCCAAATTTCAAATTACCACCAATTGGTCGGGAAAATGAGGTCAGGAACTTCAAATTACTGAAAATGAAGGCGGGATGAACCAATTTAATAAACAAAATCCGAAAAGTGGGCTTTCACACTCCAAGAATCAAGAATGCAAAATTCTGCCGCTAAAACCTTTAAAAATACGGAAATAAGGGTGGGACACTTATAATCGGAACATGGACCTATCATAATTTCTTAAAAAAGCTGAACTGCCAAATTACAGTAGCTTTGGTAAGAAAAGCGCTCAACCCAATTGAAATGCGGAAAATGTGCCGGAACTTTTATATGGGACAAAATTATAGCCACTTCGGTTCGAATATGCCGCTAAAACCTTTAAAAATGCAGAAATAGGGGCCGGACATTTATATGAGGTCATAATAAGAACATGGAGCTATCATCATTTCTATAAAAAACTAGACTGCCAAATTACAGTAAATTCGGATAGAAAATGCGCGCATGACAATCAAAATACCAAAATTGCGGCGGAACCCTTATATGGGGGCTATACCGAATCATGGCCCCATATCGAATTATTTCTGCTAATATGTTATTTGGTATAAGTCCTGCAAAGAACATAAAAGCCAGATTACAGGCACTTCGGCGGCTAAACCCTTGGAAATGTCGGATACCTTACCATTATAAACTAGATTTAAAAAATTAGCCAATATTGAAAAGTTTCTTCAAATATATATTTCACCCTACAGTAATGTCAAATGTCAATCAAAAACAATTGGAGGATATAGAAACAAAATTTCTTCCCAACTTACCGAACTCTGTACATTATCCCATATAGCCGCCACAGAGGGTGCAATTATTGAACCACGATCGGTGGCATTATAATGCTCCTCAATGCCAAAACGCAACTCATTGGCCAAGGTACGTTTCAAGCCACCACGGAAGACAAAAGCAATGGAACCAATCAAAAATTCACTGAGGAACAACAAAATGATCAGCATGAAATACTAAAAAGAGAAGAAGAAAAAAAAACAGCAAATTTTTTTTCAAAAACTTTTTTAATCTCCATAAATTATGTGCACCAACTTACCAAACTCAGCAGACACCGTGATTGGACCCAAGCACCACAACAGCCCAAAAATGATACAACAAATCCAATGACACCAATGCACAAGAATACCGAATCAGCACTGAGGGCAGCATGATCGGGCAGCAGCGTAGCATAACCTTCATATGAGAGACGCAGCCAAACACCGGCACCCAAGAAAGCACAACTGCAAAGCTGTTCGTTCGTTCAATTTATTTAGGGGTTTGAGAATTCCAGACACGAACCGTCGTCACAGAAACATAGAACAATGGTAGGGTAATAAAATTAGAATTAATGATGGTGAGACGTTTTGTTATTTAAGGTAACATTTAAGAAATAATAATAATAAACATCCGGAACATTTTTTGAAAGAAATTATGTTGAAACTTCAAAATTAAAATTAATGATTTCAGTTTTAGGGTCAAAATACTTCACATTGACCAAATATTAGTACTTTATTAAAACCTAATTATCAGCAATAATTATTTATTTGTGATAAGGGCAATATTTATTTTATCATTTAGACATCTCATGCAAAATGCACCAATTTTAAATTGGTCGATAGTAGATACATTTTTGAATAATTCCCCTATAAAAATCCAGGCTTATTATAATTATTTCCATGGACATAGGATTATTTTCTAATCGAAGTGGTTGTAATTTGGAATTCCGCGTTATATTTTTTACAGAACATTTTCAAAATAGGTTTGTGTAATGCATTAACTCCAATATAAAGGTCCTAGTCTATTCGGTATGTGGAGTTGGTCTTAGCGGAATTTTGCATATAAAATGGAGCCGATATTAAATATTGTTATTCCGTCCGCCAATAAGAAAAAATATCTATATGGGTCTACTTTTTAGGGTAGCCCCATTTTTTGGTGTAGTGTCTTGAGGCACTTTTTAACCAAATTGGCTATGATTTGGTATTTTGAATTCCAAAAATTATAGATTTCGGTCCAAGAATACGCATAACATACCCACTTGATTGAAGCAAGCACTACTTGTCGCGGTAATAGTATAGAAGCACCATGGCAAATAATTGCCCACTCCCTACAAACTGCAGAAAAATCAAAACTGGGGTACCAAAAACCACCATTAAGAAACCCTTGGTACGATCAGGATCAGGAGGTGAGAAACCCAGCGAGAGAGAATTATCGAGAGAAAAGAAGGAATGAGAAACTTACTTTCAAAAGAAAGAACTAGAAAAACGTAAGCGTGGGCAAATCGAGTGGTACAGAAATCAGATTGAAGTCCGGAAATCAGATTGAAGTCTGCAGGCACATCCTCCTGTGAAGAGGAAGAAGGAAACTTTATGACAGATACAGGCATCGTGATAAGGATCTGGAAGGAGCATTTTGCAAAGCTTCTGGTATCAAATAATGACGAAGAAGAAGCGGTGATGTATAGATTTTATACCACCTAGCCAAGATGAAGTCAGAATAGCAATTAATCGTCTGAAGAATAATAAAGCAACAGGTGCCGATGAATTACCAGCTGAACTGTTCAAGGCCGGTGGCCAGACGCTGTTCAGGAACATGCACAGATTAGTACAATTTGGTTCGAGGAATGCATTCACAATGATTGGAACCTCAGAATCCTGTGCACCGTGCACAAAAAAGGAGGAATTAATCTCCTTCCCATCACATATAAAGTGCTATCCAGCATACTGTGTGAACGACATTCCTGCAAAATTAATAAGGATGTGCGGGATAACTTTAACTGGTACAACGTCAGCAGTTAAAGTAGGAGAGGACCTCTCGGAATCCTTTCAAATCGAACAAGGATTCAGACAAGAAGACAGTTTGTCATTTGACGAGATGCAAATGTGAACAGAAATGACACTTTGTGCACCAAACAGCATATGTCACTCGCCTATGGCGACGACATCGCCATAATGGGTCGCAAATTGCGAGCGGTAACCGCCATTTTTGAACGAATTTATAAGTGGTCAAAGTGGAACTTGCAGTAAATGGCGAGAAGACAAAGCTAGTTGTATCAAAGCACAAGTTGTCCAGTAGACTCGGATCAACTGTGGAACTTGAAAACTACAGTTTGGAGGTAGTGAACGATTTTATATACCTCGGTGCCACCGCTATAAACAAAACTAATAACATCTGCTTTGAAATCCGGAGGAAAATAGTGTTGGCCAACAGATGCTACTATGGTCTGAGTAAGCAACTCAAAAGCAAGGCCACCTCTGGGCAGACCAAACACACTCTACAAGACGCTGATACTACCCGTACTGTTGTATGTGTCTACAGCATGGGTATTTGCGCAAACAGATGAGGCAGCTCTTGGAGTGTCTGGGAGAAAATGTCTCCAAAAGATATATGGACCGATTTACGTCGATGGTGAATATCGCCGTCGAATGAATATCTATTCTCGGACATCGACATAGTCAGACAGATCGAGCTGTAGCGACTACGTTGGCTAGACCACCTAGTGAGAATGGATGAAGATGCCCCAGCTCAGAAGGCATATAAAACCGAGCCAAGTGATGGTTCACGCAGATCGGGAAGGCCACGGAAAGATCAAATAAATGACGACATCTCGGAAAATAGTCTTTCAAACTGCACAAGACCGACGCGCCTGGAAATGTTTTTAAGCTTGGCTTATGGAACAACCGTTCTGTCATAAGCCAGCTAAGTAAAGTAGGTAAGTAAGTTCTTTCGAAAAGACGCAGTCTGTTAGGAGACATACGTAGAATATACTCAAAGTGGTGAAAGGTATAATATAGTCGGCCCAGTCCGACTTTACTACTTTCCTTACTGGTTGATGTTAAAAATGCACCTCGCACAGGTATGACGGTCGTCGAAAATGTCGATAAAATCGGAGAAATGATCGAAGTTGACCGGCATGTTAGCAGTCGTAAAATCGCCCAGGAGCTAAATCATTTACAAAATATATATATATATATATTTTTAAAAACCTAATATATGGTTTTATAAGGAAAGTAGTAAAGTCGAACTGCCCCTGAATTCTGTAACTTTTTAACAACATTCCATATTGTTTATTTTACAACAATTTCATTTGTTTCTTTTGTTGTTTTTACAATAACAAAAGAAATTAAAACGATATCGAATGTTGTTAAAAGTTACAGAATAGGCCTACTGGGTCGACTATATGATACCCTCCTAACAGACTGCGACTTTTCGAAAGAACTTACTTACTTTACTTAATCCAATAAACCTATATATCTATTTAGCCTTGTCCGTCTGTCTGTTGAAATCACAAAATTTAAGATGAAGCTCTGAAATTATGCACCGAAATTGTCAGTACTCGAATAATGTTTAGTATTATATTTTTAACCACAGGTTGCCCAGTAGAATGGCAAATCTTCTAATCATTGTTATTGTTGCTGTTCTTTGGTTGCCAGTATTTTTGTGGTTAATATATCGGTCGCCTTATTTTTGGATTCGTTTTCCGAATTGGTTGTAATGACTAAGATACCGCCTTCAAGTTATGACTGGGATACCGCTCAATATGTGTCAATAAATGGTCGAAAATTACATCAAAAGATAAATTTACTTTTGAAACCAAATATTATATATACATACATATACATATTTCATAGGCTGAAGGCAACCGTCAGTGTTTCTTTCTTAACTGTTTTATAAATAAAAATAAACATTATATATCATTTTCATGTACTCAGGAAATGGTGTATTTGTTTTGTTATTGAAGTGAAATGATTACGTGTGAATTCATTTAAAATGAAATAATTTTGGGGGGAAATCAACAGCAATGACAACAGTGATGAGGCACAATTATTATTCCGATACACGTACCTTTCTTTTTTACATTCCCTCGCTCGTTCGTTCATTCGTTCTACATTGGCAATAAACTGAAGCGTACCGAACTGATGTCTTGTAAAATGTAAATGACAAGCTCACGTTCAGCTTTAAGCAGCAAATTCAATTCGGCGACGCGCATGCGCTTATAAACCAAACAATGCTGACTCTCTGCGAGTAATTGAAAGTTGAACTTAAAGAAGATTCCCCAAAAAAATGTGTCATTATCATTTCAAGCATCCAACAACAACAACAAAATGATTGTTGTTAATTTCTATTTAATGTCTTAAAGTTGATTTTTACTGGGAGTGGTAGGGGGAATGGTGAGAAAGTGAATTTGGGAAAAAGCCATAAAACAAGATTTCCGTCTTTGTTTTTGTCAATTTTTATTACAGTTTTGTTTTTGAACTTTTACTTTGCATTGTTGTTTTTGGTTTTTTGTTATTTGCTGTAATTGTTCTGAAAGTCTTTAAAAATTCAAGAAGTCCAAATGAAGGCTTTTCTGTAGCACTTATTTAAAATGATGAATATAATTGTGAATTATTATATCGTTTTGAAAATGTAGGGTAGGGAAATAAATTTTGTCGTTTAGCCCCAGGTACCGTTAACCATAAGAATTGAAAATTTAAATTCTGATTGTTGGGAAGTTTAAAAAAAAAAACATTAGAGTGATGGGAATAAAAGTGTAATAAATTGAAATCATATTTTCATTTTGTAAATCAGTAAGCGTAGAGGGTTCTGATCTATGATATAGGGAGGGCTATGACACGGAGGACTGAGTCAAACATTATCTACATTGGAAATATTCTGCCAAACCGTAACAACATAAGATGGGTAGGACCTTTAGCTGGAAACTAAAATTAAGAATAAATACACGCCTATTATACACCCAATCTATGATATAGGGGGGCTATGACAAGGAAGACTGAGTCAAAAATTACCTACATTGGAAATATTCTGCCAAACCGTAACAACCTAAGATGGGTGGGACCTTTAGATGGAAACTAAAATTAACAATAAAGACCTGGTAAACACCCTTGAAAAACTCATTCAAAAATCCACGACTGGTATTGACCCTTGAAAAAATTATTTAAAAAGTCTACCCCTGGTGTAGACCCTTGAAAAACATAATTAAAAAAATTCACGCCCGGTATAGACCCTTGAAAAAATTATTTAGAAAATCCATGCCAGGTATAGACCCTTGAAAAAATTATTTAAAAATTTACGCCAGGTATATATCCTCGAAAAAAAATTATTTAAAACCAGTAAGGAAAGTAGTAAAGTCGGACTGGGTCGACTATATGATACCCTTCACCACTTTGGGTATATTCTACATATGTATCCTAACAGAAGTCGCGTGTTTGTTATATATCTATATCTGAACCGATTTCAGGGAAACTTGCCAGAGACTAATTTATATTACTTCAGTACGTTGTGTCAATCGGCCTAGTTATGGATCTTTTCATACCAAAATTCGTGCAAATCGACTTTGGTGTAAAATATATATGGGAGCTACATCTAAATATAAACCGATTTTCACGAAACTTAGCACACGTCATTCTAAACTTAATACAGTACGCTATGACAAATTTCGTGCAAATCGAAAGATATATAGGGACATTGGTACACAATTTACCCTAAATCGGACGATGATATATATGGAAGCTATATCTAAATCTGAGCCGATTTTCACGAAACTTAACACACATCATTCTAGACCTTTTTGATTACGCTGTGCCAAATTTCGTGCACATCGAAAGATATATAGGGACTTTAGTGGACTATTTATCTAAAATCGGGCGAAACTTTATATGGGAGCTATATCTAAATCTGAAGCGATTTTCACGAAACTTTGCACACATCATTCTAAACTAAATTCAGTACGCTATGCCAAATTTCGTGCAAATCGAAAGATATATAGGGACTTTGGTACACCATTTACCTTAAATTGGACGAAGATATATACGGGAGCTATATCTAAATCTGAACCGATTTTCACGAAACTTTGCACACATCATTCTAGACTTGATTCAGTATGCTATGCCAAATTTCGTGCAAATGGAAAGATATTTAGGGACTTTGGTACACCATTTACCTTAAATCGGACAAAAATATATATGGGAGCTATATCTAAATCTGAACAGATTTTTCCCAATTTCAATAGGGTTTGTCCTTGGGCCAAACAAATGCGCTGTGCCAAATTTCATCCAATTCGAATCATAAATGCGACCTGTACTTTGTTTATAATTTAACATGGACGGACGGACGGACATGCATAAATCGACTCAGAAAGTGATTCTATGCATATTCTCAAAAGGAACCATGGGTCTATCTCGATTATTATTACCACAGTGTGATGAAGGGTATAAAAACCACGCCTTGTAATGACCCTTGAAAAATTATTTAAAAATCTACGCCAATGTTGCCATTTTTAAATACACTCCGCCTCATTGTCCAGCGTATAATTAAATAAAACGTACCTTTGAACCAAATTCAATTCAAAAATTTCCGAAAAAACTATCAATAGTACAAAATAGTTATCGAATAGCCTAACTTATTCCATTAAAAATCACAGAACCCACCCACAACCATCTATAGTGGTTCAAAAAACCATTTCGAAAAACACATCTCCGCAAAATACTGTTGCAATGCCACAAACGACAACGATGATAAAGAAGACGACGACGAGAAGAACTGTAAAGCAAGAAAGAAGAAACATGTCAAAACTTTGTCAACAATACAATTTCCGTAGTAGACGACTATTTTGACAACAATGGATGATTGTTGCAGTAACATTAGCCGTTCATTGTTGTTGCTGTTCTTTGGTTGCCAGTATTTTTGTGGTTAATACTTATGTGACAATGATGATGATGGTGGTAGTGATGGCAACGAACATTCAATAGCTTCTGTTGCATTTCCAATTGTTGTTGTTGCTGTTGCTACTGTTCATACTCAAACATTGTCGATTGTCGCATTCAACAGGTTTTTGTTTGTCAGTAGTAGCATTGACAAAAAATGAAAACTTTGTAGACAAATAAATAAATTATTAGTTGGTTAGCTCTTCTCATTCACATACCGCGGGACAACAACTTTCTAAAGGCCGATGAATGTTTGAATGTGACAGCCCGGTGAAGGCTATTTATTGAATGTGAATAAACGAAGGTATGTAGCTATTTCATTGTACAGTGAAGCTGAAAAATTTGTCCTCACATATATATGTATGTAGTTAGATGTGTCAAGTTCATGTTTATAGAAATTGTATTTGAATGGTCATTGGCGAGAAAATTAACTTGGGAAATATTATGATTTTAAAGGAATATTTAAACAATTTTTGTAAATAGGGGGAATATATTTATCATAAGTTAGGTCGACAGGAAATATTTTCTCATTATGACTTAAACCTCTCAGTTTTAAACTATAAATAATTAATAATGTTAGTTTAATATATAAATCGCTATATTTACCCATAATAAAATATTCAGCCAACAAAATGTCCTTCTTATACATGTGTATCCTGCATTCGCCATTTTGTATTAGATGTTATATGAACTGAAAATAAGAGATTGCAAATATTATTTTATTATATTTAAAATTTAACAGAAATTATTTTATTGTATTCAAATAAAAACGTTTTGCTCATCGAAATTTTATTTTTTCATAAATGAAATTTTATTTAACACTAGAACGCCGAAGGCAGTCATTTTGACTGCTTTCCAATTTCAAGTACAAAAGCAACTGTGCATTTAATGACACTTTTTTTTAAATATGGTGACTTTTTGTACCTCATAGAATTACGTTTATTATAAAAAATTCATCAAATTTAAAAAAAGTGTCATTAAATGCACAGTTGCTTTTATACTTGAAATTGGAAAGCGGTCAAAATGACCGCCTTCGGCGTTCTAGTGTTAAGAATACACCAATTCTAGACTATATATTTTGACGATTTTTAAGAGGCTTGTAAGTTAATGTTGTTGTTCTGGCATTTAAGCAAAATCTATTTTTTTTTTTTGGACGGACATAGGACTATTAATTTCGAAAAAAATACTTTTATTTTATAATCGATTTTATCAGCTGATTTGATTCACCTCATTCAAAATATGAAATCGGATGAAAGGTTATTGAGTAACATAAACAGATTTCAAGGTTTTAGAAGCGCTCACACATCCACTCGATGTTCCTACAATAATTCGGTTATATCTCAAGGGGTTTTCATATTATAAAGAGTAATTTCGAATTAGATAAAAATAAAAGAATCATTTTTATGCTCGGCCTAGCCGAATTTTTAATCCATACACCATACACAAATGGATTCAAATGCCTTTGTATGGGATCTACATAAAACAAGTAAAAAAGTGTAAGTCGTTGTTGCCGACATATATATACTCTCAGTCTACGGATTGCGGAGGTATATGGAAATACACACAGGATTTATAAAATTTTTTTGTGAGGCACAAATGAATGTGGGATGTTTAGTTCCCATCTTCAGACTTGATCTAGGCTTGGTTAATGTTTGGATCAAGTCGAGCATTAAATTAGCTTCATGTTGGATTGACAAATTTAAAAAATGTTTGCACTGTTGAAGAGGTTCTAAAAGAAGTAGACCTACGGGTCTCATCTTCGGACATAATCTAAATACGTTTAAAATATTACGTTGTATAAAGTTTCGGACATAATCTTGGTAATGTATAAATATTACGATGTGCAAAGTTTCGATGAAATTGCATATTCTGTTAGCTTTTTATGAGTGGGAGTGAACCGATATCCTCTATATTTGAACATGATCTAAGTTTGGAATAAATATTACGCTGTAAAACGGATGTAGTCCAAAGAAATATGATGAGATTTTGCCATATCAAATTGTATATACCCTCAAAATTTGATAATGTGTGTTTTCACCCTCCGAGAATGCGGAATACCAAAAATAAAGTCAATTTGATGAGGAAATGCGCCTACAATCTTTATCATACCGAAAAGGTAGTGGGACCATTGTACTGAGGTTATGTTCAAACATGGACTTTTGTAAAAATGTTTCTCACCCTCCATGAAACCGAAATGCCATATTACACCCACTTGGAATTGATAATCCGGTTAAACATTGAAAACAAAACAGCGTACAACCGACAGAGGAACAGGGCTAAATCTTCATAGAGGTCTCATAGATCTACTGGGGTCTCCGGTGAATATTTTGATTTTCGAAGACAATTCTTTCGAAAAACAGATGAATATACAAAACTACATCGATGTGAAAGATTATATATTTTTCACTGATTCAAAATATATCGTATATTTTTTTAAGGTATCCGACGGATCATTGATGTTTATAAATAATCTTAAAATCCGTACATTTATAAAATTCTAAAAAAAGGCGATCGGATTCTCAGTGTTTAATCTTCCTTTCCCTTATAGAAATATCTCCAGATTTAAAGATTTTTATCTCATGCCAACCAAATCCTTCTCAGTATATACAAGTAGGGGAGGCTGGGACACCTTCGGCATCGGTGTCTCATGCCAACGAAATCCTTCTCAGTATATACAAGTAGGGTAGACTGGGACACCTTCGGCATCGGGGCACATTCGGCAATCGCGTTTTCGATATGAAGCTCTCACCGTAAAGCACTAGCTTCGATACATAGGTATCGAGTATCAAAATAAATAACTGTAGCAAATTTTGAAATCTCTAACCGATAAACTTATATAGATGTACCATTTTTTGTATTTTTATAGATGTTTTCATAATATTTCCATTCCATTTCGTAAGTATTTCGTGTATAAAACTTTTCAATTTTTAAGGCAGTATTATTAAAAAGTAGTTAATTACAACGTGCATTCTTATAAAAATAATTTAAAATATAATTTTTTTAGAGGAATGATAGGAAAAAACTATAAAAAGTGCCTTCGGGGTACATACGGCATTTAAAAATGTGGCACATTCAACCATATGCAGATAGTGCAATATTATTTCCTTAAAATGTTTTTGAGTTTGTCTTTAAAAATAATCCTTTACTTTGGTTCGAAATTACATATATAAGACCAAATATGCTCGTATTGACGAAAATGCGATAGAAAAAAAAACAATTTCTGATAATTTGTGTGCTAAAAAATATAGCCTTAATGTCAAACTTTGAGTCGCATATTAAAACAAAATGGACTGATAGCGGTGATAATTACCAGGCTATGACTATGGTGCCGAATACGCCCCATTAAATGCCGAAGCTACCCCGGGTAGGGGCACATTATATTATTAATTATATCTTTTTCTGACTCTGCTGACAGAGATGGTACGTCAGAAATATTGACGTATAATACATAAAATACAAAATCATTACTTTTTGATAAAATCCATATCAAATATCAAAATGTTTTTCCCAAAAAAGTTTAGAATTTTTTGTCAGGACTAGTAAGTAATAATCAGAATTTTGAAAATAATAAAAAGAATAATATCTGGTGAAAATATTGAAATAATTGACTTTTACTACATTTATTATTTATTTTATAAAGGTATATGACTTTTACAACCCTTTGGCAACGCTAAAAATTCGTCATATGGACCATCCCTGTTTTCTAATTACCACACTTTATTAAATGGGAATAAGTAATATGTATATTATCCATATAATTATATTACTCATACGCCGAAGTCCTTAAACAATGCTCATTCTTTCTACGAAATTTATTCGAATTCTAATCTACAATAAATTCAATTTTAATAATATCGTATGACAAATTAATAAATTGAAATCAAAACACATTTCTTCTTTGTGTTTTATTTTTGTTGCACAGTGTAAAAAAGAGGCCACAGCATCTTCTCATCGCTATTAATAATACTTAAATTTTATTGCTGGTTACTTTTCACTTACATTCATGAGAGTGCAAATAGCTCGCTTCGATGTTAATTACTAATGACCTGATAAGTGTCTTCATAAAATTATACTTGTTTTTCATTTTTTTGAGCTGTGAAATTGCGTTGACCAAAATAAGAAACACAAACAGGATTTAAGAAAAAGTAGAATGAATAATTTAACCAAGATTTAAGAAAAAATTATAAAATCTAAACAGATATAAAGAAAAAATATTACAATTAAAAAATTCACATTTAAATATTACTTTTATAACATATATATTATTTTGATCAAATTTATTGCATGAGTTGTACTATATATGTATCTCATATGCCTCTGTTAATAGTCACGAAATTCGTTCATATAATTTTTTTATTTTGATTTGTTTTACTTTGATATTTTTTGGTTTCATGGATTTAATTGCAGCATTGTTTTGATACGATTTCATGGTGACAATCTGATCTTCCTCGACTAATTAGCTGAAGGTTTTGAATTTCATTGAAATGCATCATTTGGCAAATCTGTGTGAATTATGGCATAATAGTATTATTAGCAGCCAGCTACAGTGGTAAATTGTTTTTGGAAATATTCGTACATGGGAAATGGATTACATTTGTATCATAGAATCGTGCAAAAATAATGGAAAATTAAAAGCTAAAAGAATTAAAAATTACTTAAGGCTGAGACATATGGGAATATCGATTGATAAATTGTATAGGAATTAAGGAGAAATGCCCCAAATCGAATATCGGTTTAAAGTCACTCTCTCTCTCTCTCCTTCTCCCTTGTAGCGAATTTTATAACTATTATGCGGTAATTTTATCAAAATTATTCATTGTAAAATATCACATTAAATGATTGCAGTTCATGAACTCAAATCTTATTGTTGAAAATTCTTTTGTATGGCCGCCATAAAGAATATATATATATATATATATATATCACATTATGAACCAATTATTGACATTAAAAGTCTGACAAAGAAAATATATCAAGCATGAAAGCCATCATATGTGGAAAATGTGAGCATAAACATATTTCTATATGTATAAGACATGTGGTTTTTAAAATCTTTTGACAATAATCTATAAAATATAAAGACAAATCGACCACTTATATTAATTGATAATTAGTGAGGGTAAGCGCACTTTGATGCGACAAAAATGTGGTTTCAGACCCATGTTTCTTTGGTGTAAACTCGTTTCAGACAATATACAAACGTCCGTCTGTCAGGCCAGCTGGTGCGCACGATAGTTCTCGAAAGAGTGTCACCGATTGCATTCAAAATTTTCACATCGTAATGTTTATTCCAAATTTACTTCAAGTTCGATGACAGGGAATATCGGTCCACACCTTCTGGTACCTACTCACACAAACAGTCAAAATTTCAAATATTTTAAATCCTATATTAAGCTAATTGGAACCGATTTGAACCAAACTTTGCACATCATTTTATATTTACCTCCTTCTGGTACCTCCCCCACAAAGGGTCAACATTTTTAATATTTATAAATTCAATGTTAGGCGACAAAATGTCCAATTTGAACCAAACTCTGCACATCGCAACTTTTTCAAATTAGAAAATGGTGTCAATTCCCTCTAATAACCTCCCCACAAACCTCCGCAAACAATGGGCTGGGGAAATTTCCGAATAACCCTAGACGATTTCATTCCAATTATTTTTGTAATGTATGACAGTGACATCCTTGTG